GAGACGCTCCGCTGACGAAAGATGTTTTATGCTAAACGCGATGGCAAAGATTGTCGCTCCAGTGTTGTTCTTCGAGATTATGCTGCCCGCTGTGACCGCTCAGCACTCCATATTGGCCACGAAAACTTTTTATCACCTGTCTTACATGGTGGTGTTTGTTTTTGCTTTCTTGGGCATACGTGGTACCTTGAAGTTGCCCTTCGGCCCGTGGTTCGCTGAAATCGTGTTGTCCAGGATCATCACATGCAAAGTCATCAGCCATCAATCACCCTCTGAGATGAGCGGCGTGGAGGAGTTGTCGCCCGATGCATCCGTAGTGACGGAGTTCTGTAGTGACGGTTCAGAAGCATTTTGGATGGGCGAGTCAGATTCGGAGGTGAAGTTGTGGAGATGAGTATGTAGCAGAAATCCATGGTCAGGGTCACACCTCTCCATCGAGCGCCCTTCTGCTGCTTGGCCTCCAATGTCGTTGCATCTTTTGAGAGAGCAGGCGCTGAAAATAGCCCTCAGTGGTGACGGGCATCAGGGAGGAGATGACGAGTGTTTGATTTGAGTTTTGTTGGAAAGCTTTCAGCATCCCATCAGGCGATTGCCTCTGCTCGGTGGATGCCTTGCTCCGCTTGTGGGGCCCCGGAACCAGGCCCGGTTGGGCAGCTCGTCCCGCTGATACTTTTCTTTTTCTTTTTCAGGAGCCTTTGCTTTGCCAGAAGAGAGGTAAAATCGATTCCTGAAATGAATAAAGAATTGGATCGTAGCTGAAGCTGGGATGCTGGACAGAAATTGGGTTGGTTTGAGGATGCTGTCGGGTGTGAAAGAGGTGCTGAAAAATTTAGAAGAACATCAGCTACAGATGATAGGTGTCAAATCAAACACTACTGCCTCTGCCATCGCACACACGCACACACCGACTTTTCTGCAGACAAGTCAGATAGATAGGTCCAAAGGGAATGGGTTCCGCTGTCGCAGCTAAGAGCCTTGCCTTTTTGCCAGCAAGAGCCGTGTGTTTTCGGGGTCAAGCCATGGTTGAGTTGAGCAGGAAGAAACGGATAATACAGTCTGGTCGGCAATGATTTTGGAGTGAAATGCCAAACTTGCCAAAAATTTGAAGCTGACAGGCAGTTCTAAACAGTACAAGCCTCAAAAAACAGAAACCCGTTCGAAGCGTTCTAGTGAAAAGGGTGTGGTGCGCTCAGCACTGGACACCTATCCGGCTGATTGTACTGACTTTGCTGAGGAGGAGTTGAAGGCAGAAGCTGGACGTCTGAAGTAATGGTTTCGTGCTTGGCGTCTCCTGTCGAGAAGGGGCCGCGGCCAGATGCCATAAGTGGCGGCTATGCCAACACTTGCACTTTCTGGCCAACGCTTCGCAGTTTCTGGGGTCCCACATGTTTCATATGCTTCAGGTCTTCAGGCACAAGCTTGGTTAAAAAGCTAGCCCTTTGCTTGCCTTTATGCAATTTTGGATTTGATCCACACTTGAGTGCAAGAAGGTTCGTCGGACATGAGCGGAGACAACAGAAGATTGCATTTTCAGGGAGCAAACACATTCTCAGACATTCTATTGGCGCGGCGCGTTTCCGCATCAAGCTTTGTGTTTGGTGGAAAAGGGTGCTTGGATGGTTTGATACGATCTGCAAACTTTGCCCAAAACGTGAGTTCGTCCAATTCCGAAGAACTGATCGTGCTTCTGGAATGAACGATAGCTTCAATCCTTTAACTTTAGGGTCCAAGGAACCACTGCATCTTTCTACAACTAAGAAGAAGGTCAGCCTTCGTTGGGTGTTGTCGCATTGTGGTTTGGTTCATGACCCATGGTATTGAAGTGCATGGTCCTTGGCAATTGTTCCATCTGCCACAATGATGGAGACATCTCGAGTTGCAGCTCTCTTCATGAGTTTGTGCATTGGATGACATTTCTCGGCGCTGTGACATTGGTTTATGACGGAGACTGAGGGGGAATGACCAAGGTAGTGTGTGCAAGGGCTTTCAAACACATGTGCTTTGTTGTTTTAAGTCAACTGGACATTGTGGGCCCACCCCACATTGTCATCACTGGCAGAATCATTGTGTGAGTGTTTTCTTTGGCGAGTATGTATGGTTGCGTTTGTTGACAAACTTTCAAACTTTTTCACCACTGCTTGTGACATTGTGCAGCGACAATCATGAAAACTGTTCATGTTGTCATCATCCAAAGCAGAGTGCAGAGTGGGTTTCCGTGTTTGGTGTATTTGTTCCCGGAGTGATGTTTGTGAAGAGGTTTGTGTGATTTGTGAAGAGTTTTAGTTTGTTCTCGGCTCGACTGTATTTGGCCCAATGAAGACGGGTCAACGCGCGGCCACTGATTGCTACGCCATGGCAACAGCAGTGTACGGGTGTCAGTGGGGTGATAGTGCGGTAATTGCAATGTTGACCTTGCTTGCGCAAATGACATGTGATGAAAGCCTTTAAACACGAAACACTCGGACAGTTTGACATTTGACTTGGCATTGACTGCGTTAGCTTTGATCCACCAGCTTTGGCTGTGATACTGCTGCATATGAAGTCCAGTGATTCAACATGACAGATTCATCAATGTCGCATTCGACTGCTCTTTAGCCTGAGTGATTGTGACAGCGGGAACCAGGCTGCCGGCCCTTTTCTTCTAGCAGGTCATACACAGCTGCGACGCGAGGGGCTCGGAATGTTTGTCGTGCAACACCACTAACTCTGTAAAACAAATAAAGATGCCATGCGTGGCACACTCCCGGCGGCGGCGGGGAGGGTGGGAAGTGTCAAGGTGTACACCACCTGCACTCTAGCTGCACACAGTGTTAGAGCAGCCACCAGGGCGCTTTAGATTTGGGGTGTTTCATGTGTACCTGCCTCGACCTGCGACCAAGGTCATCAGCTGCTACATGAAATCCTGGCCCTTCTGGGCAGCTCAACCGCTTGCTGTTCGGTGTTTCCGACACACGGTGGAATGGAGTGCGAACGAGCAGAGAAGGTGAGGACGAAGGTGAGATATTTTGTTGTGGCCGGGTTCAGAGAGAGAAAGGGAGAGAGAGAGAGAGAGGGACAGAGGGAGACAGAGAGGGGGAGGGAAAGAAATGGAATCCGGAGAGGATGCTCAATGAAGCTTTGCGAATGTATTTTTTCGTTGAGTGTTCTACAAGTGGTTCTATGAGTGTCTGGCAATGTCACATTTGGAAACCCTTGAAGGAACAGCAGCCATAGCCTCAAAGTTTCACTAAGAGGTTTCCAATTGGCATATGAGCTCCCTTTGACCGAGGGAACTCCCTTGAGGTCTCGCCATTTAACCCCTTCAGTGTTCCTCAGGCCTCGCCCCAACAGAGCCCACGCCCAAGGCCTTCCCTTTGACCATCCAGTCCTTGGCAGTGCCCCTCAGCGAGAAGCAGGGATCCTCGGCCTCAGAGTGAAGCGGCTTCACTGGAGCGCTTCTAGGTCTTGGGGAACATACTGCCTATATACAGTACCCTCCCTCCAAGAAATTCCGGAAGTGGACAACCCCCTCTTAGTGGATGGAACATCCATTTTCCAGTGATCATCAGAAGACTATCATCACCCTGTGATCCATCAGTGTCACTCAGAAGTGTATCATCACAGGGTGACCACAGGGTGATGATCATCCACGTCCCAAAACAGCGAAACACCCCGCGCGCCCCGCTGGAGGCGTTCTTTCGTCCCTGCGCTTCGCTCAGGCCCGCAGCTTTAGCGCCCGATGTGGAGGCCGGGTAATGAGTCCCGGCACTTCGGGAAGGAGTCCAGGGATTTGGGAGTTTGGGCAGCCTGTTGATCCTGTTGAGAGACTGGTTTGCTTGTGACCTAGTAGCTTCTAGCTACTAGTAGTAATGCCAGGAGCTACTAGTAGCTTCTTGTTACTAGTAGTGGCCTCCAACCTAATAGCGATGGCCTCCACCTAGTAGCTTCTAGCTACTGGGCTTCAGGTGTGCAGGATGTGAAACGTGCTCGTTCTCGCAGGTCACCAGACTCACGCAGAAGCCAAAGGGGGACTTCCGAGAGTACCAGCCGGGGGGGCGAAGGGGTTTCCGAGCCAGATGTTTTTGAGGTGATTCATGGGACGTTGGAGATGTGGGGACCAAAAACCCCGAATGTTCTGACTGTAATACTTCAAAACACAAACTTCATGGCCAGAGCACAAGGCCAGAATGATCAGCTCTTTGGCACATGATAGCTGTAGGGTTGTGTTGCACTGCCTGGCTGGACCTTTTCCTTCCACTAGCATGTTGGTAGTTCATTCAATTTCATTGGACACAGTTTTCGACAGACTATCATCACCCTGTGATCCATCAGTGTCACTCAGAAGTGTATCCATTGAGCTCCTGCCTTCGGTCTGAAAGCTTGCTCCAACCCGGAGCCGCGCGGGGAAGCAGCGGGGAGCGAAACGACCGGAGCCCGAGGCATTCGGTGCTGGAGAACGGCCTGCGAGTGGTGAATATCTGGGATCCCAACACGACCCAGGCGCCGGACACAGACGATGGCCTGAAACAGGTGGAGGCTATCGCAAGTAGGCTGGAGGCCATTTCTACTAGTAGCAAGAAGCTAGTAGGTTGGAGGTCTCAAAACACTGAAACCCCAGGTGATGGGACATGTGCAGAGGCTTCTGTTGCAGCGTTCTGGTGCGGCATTTGTGGGAGGCGGCCGTGTCCTTGGCCGTCACTGTGGGTTCTTTCTCAGACCCCAAGGCCAGGTCGTTGATGTGCGCTCGACTCCGAGGTTCTTGTAGGGAATGCAGAAAAACTGGAATCCATGAGAGATGCTGGATCGACCCCGAAGACCCCCGGGGAGATTCTTTTGAAGTTTGAGCCAAGGACGTTCCGCATGTCTCAGCTGTTTGGGATGCTCCGACGTTCCGCGCTTTCACGGACCCCCCAAAACAACCACCCTTGAAAAAGTTCCTGCTCTGCGTACTCCGCACGTGTTCTTCGCACCATTTGCGTCCTCAGGGCTTTGATGGTCTGGCTCATTTGCTGGAGCATTCGATGTTCTTGGGCTCCAAGGGCTTCCCCCAGAGGCGCGGCCAAGCGCGGCGCGGGTGGTGGGTGGTGGAGTTGGGTGGCGTTTTCTTCGCCGTGGGTGTCTTGATGGAGCGAGGAAGCCAAAGCAATTCGGTCTGACCGTCGAATCTGGAACGCCTCGGGTTGGCGTGGCACCGCAGGTCAGGCTTCGATGCGTGGCTAGCACAGCATGGGGGCAGCTCGAACGCCTACACGGCCGAGGAGCGCGGCCCATGTTTTGTGCGGTTTATCCAGGCCCTTGCTTTGGTCAAGTTGGGATTCTTCTGTGTGGAATGATTTCAATGACACAAGACACGAGATTCACTAGATGATGGTGTGGTGTGAATGGATGGAACTGGAATTATTTTTTGGGATGTTCTTGGAGGTTCAAAGCAATACGGCCCAACTGTCCAACTATCGAGATGTTCTAGACCAGTGTCCCATGTAGGCTCTAAAGATGAGTGCTTCGTTGCAAAGAACGCGATTGTGGGAGGAAACGCATGTTACGGTGGCGTTAGACAAAGGACATCAGGTTTCCGCACTCCTTTTTGCAAAGATACTGATACCATATCATGTTGCCAAAGAAGCTTCCAGAATTCTACGCAGCAAAATGGACGGTTCTATATAGTTTTGTGGACCAATTTGCTGTTCAACAATTCGTGGTCGTTTTCAACAATGAAACGGTTTGAGGGAACCATGGACATGAGGAACATCGGGCCTGATGAGACGTCGTCTCTTTTTGGAGGGTGGAATCCGTCTTCGCTTTTGAAGCGCTGCCGCGTGCCACGCCTCGGGGTTCCAGACGTCACCGTTCTTCACCGTTTCAGAAGTCCCGACAGGAGCAGACGGTCTACTATGCCTCTGTGAACAGCAAGGCGGGTGAGCCCTGAGAACGCTTGAGCCATGCGTGGGGTACGTTTGTTCCAGCAGTGGTTGGGTGGTTGGGTCTGCTCCATTGAGGTTGGCACCATGGGTGTTGCGATGAGCGCGCGAAAAACGATGCCTTCTGAGTCACGAGCTTCTTCCTGTTCTGTTTGCGCCACCCGCACGGTCGGCGTCGGGCGTCTTCCCGACGCGTCGGCCCCGTGTGTTGGGTGTTGGAGCATTGCCTCGATGTTGGAGGCGCTGGAGGAGTGTTTGGAGCGCTACGCGGACATCTTTGAAGCACCTCTCTTCAACGCTTCGTGGATCTGGGATGAGGCGGTCTTGGAAGCGGGTGGGGTTTTGGGGGGTTTTTGGTCTCCTGTTCGAGCCGCAGAGGGCTTTGAAATCAACCGGCAAGTAAGAGTGTGGGAGAGCCCGAAAGACAGGAACGGAAGAGTTCATTCGTTCATGATTTGCAAGAGTATTGGAGCATTTTCTGCAACTGGGAACCTGGTCAAAAGATCTCATCCGTGCATGTTCCTTTTTGCAAGAAGGGGGCAGCCCGTCCAGTGGCCGCAGGTGCAGGCCGTGAACAGCGAGCACAACAAGAACCGGAAGAGCCAGGAATGGCGGATCCAGAGCTTGATCGGCCAAATGGCGGTCGCGCCTCGGGGCGAAGAAACCGAGCGCGGCCGAGCGGAGAGCGGCGCGCCTCGCAGGAAGAACCGAGACCTTCAGACCCACCGGAGCGGTTAGTTTTTGGAGGCGACCGGTCGGTGCCAAGAGGCTGGGGAGCTCAATTGCCAATGGCTACCCCCTGGGTTTCTGAAGTTGATTTAAAAAGCGAACAAGGATGGTGAAACGTGGGGCACACCATATGAACAAAGAACTGGTGAATTTGGCTTCTTTTTTGCCAGACTTCTCAGCTCTCGTTCGACTCTTTCAAACACCCCCCAAAGATCCGACCGAACGGGATCCGACCGAACGGTGGGCCTCCAATCCGGCGCCGATCGGTTCTGTCCACATCGGAAGAATCTAGGAAACAAGTGCATCGCTACTAGTAACAAGTGCCATACGATGCACTTGTTCCTAGTAGCTTCTTGTTACTACTAGTATGGCACTTGTTACTAGAAGCGATGCACTTGTTCCTAGTAGCTTCACTAGGGCCTCTAGGGCTCCTGGGCCGTCCGACGAACGGAGGTACGATCGGACGAAGCGAAGCCAACTCCTCTCGTTCGAAGCGGTGACCCGAGGCGGAGAGCCCCGCGCAGCGCTTCCACACCGGGAACCTCGAGACCCTGCGGCGCACGGACCAGGAGGGTTTGCGGTGGGGTCGAGATGTGTGAAGTCCCCCGGAGCAGAAGCCGTCGGCTGGAGCCATTCAATTTCACCCGGACCCTGCTGAGTCCTTAATCCTTCTCAGGCTTCATCCTTCATCGCTGGTCCCATCCCTCCACTCGTTACCGCGGCTGGGCATCCATCGCACAGCGTGCCGTCCGTGGGTCAGGAAAGCCTGGCAAAGGAGATTCGGCAGTTCTTCAACACCCACTACTGCCCTCCCAGGAAAGGGTTCGGGACGGGCTGGATGAGGCTGCGGCTCTCATTGGGTGTGGAGGGTGTGGGTTTTCTGACATGACTCGGAAGAAGACTTGCATGTTTGATCAGCATGGCCGGGCCTGTTGGTAAAAGAAGCACAGCCTTTCATGAAGCTGAAGGAAGTGGAGGACATGCAGGGGATGCTCGGGAAGTCTTCAAGCACAGGTAGTTAGCAGATAGATAGAGCAAACATCGTAGGCTGAGGTGATGAGATGATGTTTCGGCTATTTGCTGCTTTCTAGAGATATGTATATATATATATACAATACAATTAAGCAACATATATATATATATATGTACAATGTGTATTATGATATATTACGCAATAACATTAATAATATGTAGACTATATACGTATTATGCACATAGACGTGTATCTCTTCATAGAAGTGGAATATCTGTATCTACGTTCAAAGAAAAGATCTCCAGGATAATCTACAGGAAAATATGTTGAGGATATATAGTTATTGCTTATGGAAGCTTATCTTGAGCTAAACATGATTATCCTGGAGATGGGGTGAAATTGGATTGATCGTCTTCTGGAGCCATTTGTACCGCTAGAATTCCAATCAGTCTTCTGCCCTCTGATCAACCTGAAGGTCGAGTCCTCTTCAGACCCCCCAAGATCCAATGCCTTCAACATCCCTTGAGTTCCAAGCCCCACCGGTTTTTCGCCTGACTTTGGTCCCGCGACCCGTCGACTTGAGCAACTTCGTCGGTTGCGCTGACTGCTTGGGTGGCTTCAGGTCTCACAAATTAGGAGTGTCATCTCCTGGCGGCCGCCGGCCGGACCAGAGTTGTGAGGAAGAGCAGATCATCGGTCAGAGGTTGGTTTGCGCAGTTCAACCGCAAGAGAAGACCGCAAAGCTGTGATGCCTGTTCCTTTTGCTTGTTCGTTGTCGAACGTTCCCAAAGTCTTGTTCCACACCAAAAGACCAAACAGACCTTCTTCCGGCCGCGTTGCATGTGGCTTTCGACGTCGCCTCCGCGCCCTGCCATGACCCTGTTACCTACATCTCCAAAGGGCTACAGAAGCCCGAAGGATGAGGAGAACTTGGGAGAGTGAGAGTCTCAAAACCTTTGTTTCCAACTTTGATTGGATGCCTTAAGACCTAGAGGACCTAGCCGCCCTAGCCTTCAGCCATTGATTTCAATGGTGGACAGAGATTAGACCTGGTTTTGTGGTGTAAAGTCCCTGGCAACACGATGGTTGTTCGGGATTCGAACCCTTAAATTCATGGTGGGCTAACAACCATTAAGTTGCTGGTGCTTCGTTGCCAGGAGCTTGGGGGAAACGAGAGCAGTGAGATGTCCTCCGAGGACCTCGACAGCTCGGTCGGCCAGTTGGGGTTTTGTTTCGTGTGTAAGGTCCATCACGAAGGAACTTTCGTGTGCAAGGGTGTTACTGCTGACAAGGGCAAGGTAGGTACTGTGTGGACCAAAGGACCAGCATGGCTTTTCTGGAGTCCATGGCTTTTCCTATCATTTCTCGCTGGACGCGTGATTTTCGAGAGGCCCGGCCAAGATGAGCAAGATTTCCGCGCTCCATCCTGTTGACGTCAGTGTTGACGACGGCATGTTCAGATCGAGAAAGAGTCACTTCCTGGACCACTCGTTGAGACCGACCCACCTCTCTCTATTCGGCACACCCTGAGTGTGGCCGACCCACCCGGTTGTGCGGCTTCCTTCGGCTTCCTGCAGGACTCCGATTCCTCCGAGTCGTCCCAGTCGACGTGGCTCGGATGGATGGATTTTCTTCGGAGAACTGTGGGACCAGTCCCAGTGCGGGGACCAGTCATGGGGACTGTGGGACTGTGGGGACTGTGGGACCTGCTGCCATCATTGATGCTTTGTTAATAAAAGTCCCAGTAGCGCGACGCGGGCTTCGGGTCCTGCTGTGCCCACCTCGTTCGGATGAGGGTCTGCCGCCGAATGGATGATGAAAAGGGATCGGACACTGAAGGCGGGGGCGGCTGAGAGGGGTGCGGGGGGAGCCCGGGAACTTCCAGGGGCGCCCCCGGGAGGTCACAGCCCCGCAGGAAACGTCCCAGCTCCGAAAGCCGGGAGTATGATGATCTGCATGGAAGCTTTGCGGAAGCTTCTGCCAGCTTTCGAAGTGGATGGTTGTCGTCCCCCAAGGATCTTTCGAATTCATGTCGCTCTAAACGCTGATAGAATATGACTTCCACCACTTGCATATGGCGGATGAAATGGCCCTATGGCCCCAGCAGAGGGTATGACGCGGCATGATGCAATACAGTTATGACTTTCCTGCACCAATCTGTGGTAGGCCCTTCTCGCCACCAGACAATCACAGTATTGGTTTGATGGCTGTTTGCGGCCGATACGTGTATTTTGACAGCAGAACACCTTGGCAGAATTCGTATGCAGGAAGACCAAGTACAGAAGCTTCCCCCAAAAAGCTTCCTTGTCCTTTCGCCAAGTGTAAGTAAGCCCTGGCACTTGCCCACAAGACAGAAACTGCCACTTCGCGCAACTCGAACTGATTGAAGAACAGCTCACTGTTTCAACACTCACTTGGGAGCTTTGAGCCATAACCAACTGACCGTTCAAACTCCCCCTATCAGAGGTGGGGAAGGCAGGATCCGATCCTTCGCTCGCGTCTCATGCATGGATGCAAGGGTTTGCATTCCCGGAAGCACGTCTGGTCTTTACGGATTTTTTTTCACACCCTTGATGCGCCACACGACCCTCCACTTCCCCGGTGGAACCGGAAGACGGGACGTTGGAACCGTGGGCTTCGCCCCCGCACCGCTCGGCCTCGTCGCGGTCGTCGCGGTCTCCGGTCCTGCTAGACGACTACGCGCGGTTGCTGCGCACCCGGCTCTGGCGGCGAGAGGTCATCGAGCGGAACATCAAATTCGGCCGCTCTTCTGGTGGAGGGGATGTAGAGGAGGGGTAGACGGTGGTTCACCACGGTGCAGGTGGTGTGATTATTATGATTATTGATTGTTCTTCTTTTTTGGGGTGGGTGTTTGACCAGCGTCAGGGTGGGCGAGCTTGCTGTTTTTGGATGGTTTAGAGATGTTTAGAGTTCAGACATGTAGACAGTGAAAAGGCGGACATCTCTTCAGAGAGTTTCAAGCATCTTGGGGTTTGCAACGCCACGCTTCTCAGCTTCGGTGGAGTCGAGACTCGGAGAAGGTCCCCAAAAAGAGACTCGTGTTCGGCTCTGAACGAGCTGGCCGGACTGGACCGTCCGACGTCCGAGGTGCTGCAATCATCCTTATTGAGAACATTTGCTTGTCCGTCCAAACCCTGGCGCCTTGGAGCGGATTCAGTTGGGCGGGAGCGGATGAGGAGCAGACATCGAAGCGAAAGCGGTCACGGAGCAGAGGACGGAGTCAAAGAGATGCACCTAAGACCTAAGACTGGCCAGTGATGTCATTTTTGGGAGTCAATAGTTGCTACGCAGTGCAGCCCTGGAGCATCCGAGCCGCAGTTCCGAGCCGTTGTCGGCGGCCAAACATGAACATGCAGCATCAGTCCAAGGCCATGCGCCCTAGTAGTTCTACTAGAGCATGCAAAGACGTTTTTGCTCATTTTTCTGAATCACTTCACACTTCAGTTTCACTATACGATCATTTATATCATTTCTTCTGGGCTTAGCTTGACCCTTTTCCGTTGACGAAGTGCTTCAGAGCCCGGTCCGGTCAGCCACCGGTGCTCGCTTCGGGCCGCCGGACCGCCATGCCTAGGGCGCCATCATCAAAAAGCAGCCTTGGGCGAGCTACGTCCCGCCTCCCGGCGTGCGATTCAGGGGGTTTCAGATGCGGAGTGATCCAGGTGGGCCGGATTCGGGTGGGGGGAAGAAGGCGGAGCCTTTTGGAACTGGATCCGAACATCCGTTGACCATTTGCGAGGCCCTTATAGGCTCCAGATAGGCCCGATAGGCTCCGGCGTCAGCTGCCTGGGTGCGGCCGCCTTCGTTCCCGCCGCTGCCTCGTTCCGGCCGCTTCGTCGCAGCTGGAGGTATCTCATCACCTACGCGGTGGAATGGCCGGTCTTGTTGTTCGTGATCAAATCCCCCAGGCAGTGGAACCGGTGTTTCGTATTAAAAGGTTGCAGGTTTCGTCCGCGGGGGGCATGGGCGGTTGAAGGGTGGATTCTTGGATTGTGTTGGAAGTGAAGCGTATGGAGGGGGGCCTTGGAGTGCCTCTGCAGATGTTCGCAGACATCGCTTTAGGATGCTTGGGATGCCTTGGGATGAGATGGTGAATCGGGGCGTTTTGAGTTGATGAGAGGCGTTTGGAGTTGATGAGAGACGCCAGGCTTTGGCTGTATTTGACGATCCTGGGATTTGACGCGCCGCTTGACACGGTAGCTGTATGACATGAAATCCATGTGCATTTCGGGGATTTGTGTGGTTGGAGTGTCCTTCATTATGGTCATTTTTGGACCCAACAAACGGACAGACACGAAGGCTACACTATGGCATACAGATCGAGAACAAGAAGTAGATCTCCCCAAGACAAAAGGGGTTTCTTTTTTGAACACACAGAATTCGATGTCCTCCCAGACGCAACCTAGACACCGACCGTCGCGGCGTCGGTTTCGGGATCGCGCAGTTGCCGAGGATCACCTCCCTGATCGCTGCTGATCCGATGACCATCTCCGATAGGCCCATCGAAGACCAGAAAGGCTTCTGGGCGTTTTTTTGATCCAAGACGCCGCCGCTCTCCCGCCGCCGCTGGCCTCGCGACCGGGTTCCCGGCGCATCTCGTGCGCCGGGCACCCGGCGCCCGGGGAGAATCCCACGGCCAGAGAGATCCCACGGGAACTGCGTTTCGGGGAAGTCCAGGCCGCCGCCAGCAGCGAAGACCAACCGGGATCCGGTTTGGTCCGTCGCGTCGCTGCGGTTTGGCGGTGTTTGAAGCGGTCGAAACTCTGGCAAGTGGTGTTGGAGAGTGAGATGGATGCCTGGTGAATCTTGATGTGACGATGTGATGAGGTGATGTGCCTGGTGATTGGGTGATGTGGTGGTCATGAGGGGTTCAGTGGCATGTAGGGTTCACGTGTGATGTGGATGTGGTGAGGTGCGAGGTGCTTTTTGACATGAAGTGTGAGGTCATGAAAGCAAAAACAGCATTCGCACCAGGCAGTTGGTCCGATGCCAGTAGCAGGAACACCAGATTTCTGCTTCAACCAGGTTTTTCCCGCGCCCCACACGCACACACAAACGCACAGGCACACTCCCTGGAAACAGCTATTTGCTGGACATTTGTAACTTTGTAACTTTTTCAATACTTTTCTTCACCTTGTCGATATTGGACTTTTTACCCAACAAATCGCTATGCAGAAAATGTCCAGGCAAAAGTGTAAAAACAGAGATAAACAAACATATTCTTGTTCAAGTATGTTTTAGTCATTTCTACAGACACATACTGAAGAGCAGAGTAGTAGAATTATGGAACGCAATGATTCTCGAGAAATGATTGGGAGAGCGTGTGGGGGGCACGTTGGAATTCTTAACATGCCCTACCATGACTCGTGGTTTAAAGATTTGCAAGCCAGGAACCGATTCATTTCCAATCTTGTGCCTCACAGTGCCTTCTGGCGGCATCTGGCTTGCAAAAAAGCGGCACTTTCCAAAAGGCACAGCTGGACGCACTACGGCACTACGCACTACGCGCTGCGTTTGGAGGGACCGTCTTCGTCAGAAGGTGGTGGCTCTTAGCCGCCCAGGTCCAGCCAATCCACGTGGACGGCAGCTCTCTTTCGACCAAGCCGCAGTAATCGCGCCCCGCCGCAGTAAACAGCGCGCAGAAAGCACGGCACACATGGGTATGTCCTCATTCAAGGTTATTTAGATAGGGAGACGCGGAAGCCAATGGGTAGACTGGTCTGTCTTCCGAACCTTCCAGGGGGTCGGAAACGCCGCTGGGTCGGCCCTCCCTCTTTGGATAAGACACGCACAGGTGTACACGCCAATCCCAGGTTTGCGGTTCGTCTCTTCGGAGATTCCTCTTCGGAGATTCCTTGTTCTCGTGACCCAGATGTGCGACATCCCAACGTGAACTTCCCGGGGGCCGTGAGAAGCGGGAGAAGCACATGGAAAAGCCAAGGGTAGTAGTAGCAATAGTGTTTGCAGTGTCAGTATTTCGATTATCACTGTATATTATTAATAGTCGGTATATAGTAGAAACCTAATCACTAATCCTGAAAGCAATCTGAACAGACTCCCTCCGCGACTCCCTCCAACTTGTTCTTTTTCTACCCTCTCGGAAGGGAGACCATCACGCAAGACTTCCGTTGCCAGACTTGTTTTTTTTTTTTTTGGGAACTCTTTCAGACGCCTCAGAGCCTCTCAGGTTATGCGATTCTTTATTTCAACATGATTTACATCTTGATGTCCGTCCCCGCCTTAGATTGAGAGTCGGATCCAAGTTGAGTTTTTGCTAGTTGAGTTCAGTGGAGTCAGATTTGTGTCTCGTGTTTACCTGTGGCCTGTATGGAGTTTCCATGGCTTTCCCAAACCTAGACCTCGTTTGCATTCATGGGCTTGCTTCTCAGCTACCTATGCGTGACACAGGAGCCTCTTCACCTATGCATGTGGTTGTAAATGATATATCCCCTTTTCTGCCCGAACAGGCCCCTACCAAAAAGGATCGAAGAACGACACTCTGAAAGACGAAGTTCAGATGCTCTCTGGAACGCAGGCTGCCTGCTCCAGCCGAGCCGAGGTCATGTACTATCCGTCTTTGAAGTGGTTGACTGTTTTCAGTTTATCCAGGCTGTACCGCCGGCACGGTGGCGCTCGACTTGGGAGCGGTGGTTTTTTCCGGCACCGGTGGCGCCTTTCGATGCCGACGAGGTTTCCTTGGCTGTGGCCTTGGCAAGCACATGGAAAACGCGGTCGCTTTTGGCAGATGATTGGTACAGCTGATCGATCCATCCGATTTGGTTGGAAATCGTTGGATGACACACCCTTAAAAATGTATCTACGCCCTCCCTTGATCCAATTGAAACAAGGTGATCTGAGATCACCCGATCACAAAAGATCGCCTGGTTCGTCGATCGCCGTGAGGACCCTGATTTACACCCTTTACCTCGTCCTCGTCGTGGTGACCTGCGCCCCCAGCAGCGAGGCGCCGCCTTTGTGCCGCCTGCGGGGGGGGGGGCGACCCGGCGCCGCCTTCGTGGATGAATTTCGAGGGAACTCCCAAGACAATTGGAGCAAAAAGGTTGGATGCTTTTGGAGTTTTGTATGGCTTTGAAGGATGGAGTGTGTATGAGTGTGTGTCGAAGGGGTTGGATTGAAGTCCTGGTTTGGGTGTGACACTTTGGATGGCAAGCGGCCAGCTATCCTTAGCCTAGACATGCCAAGGCAGACGTGGTTTCAGAACCGGAGACTGCTGAACGTGCGAAAGATGGGCTCGGAAGAGTTGGAAGAAGTGCAGGTTACCGGACACGTGTACCACATTCTCCCCTACAAAGATCCTATGACAAGAGCCATCGTTTGAGCTAAGAAGACCAATGTAGACTCTTGATTAATAGACAATCCTCATTTGAATTGAACATCCTCTTGAAAGGGAGGGTTTAGTCATGGTCTACATTAAGCAGACTCTGGCCCTTTTCACTGAGTGGAATGGTCAAACCATTTTTGGAACGATCCCAACGGCGATCGGACCGCCGATGCCAGGCGCTCCTGCAGAAGCAAATCGTGGACACCGCTGTAGGAGCAACCCATGGTGAGGGTCGGACATATTTTCTGACTTGGAAAGTGAGTAGGTTGGGACGGGTTGGATGGGATGTGGGTGAAGTTTTTGAATCGGACTCTTTGAATGGAAGTTTTGCAAGCAAAAGTCCATGTTAGTCATTTTTAGATGGTCTATCTCCTGGTAACTGTTACGTTGAGAGGTAGAACAAGAGATGTGAGAAAGGTTAAGCCCTCACATTTAATGTTTTTCAAACACCAATTGGAACGGCCTAGCCCGAGCTGCACATGAAAAACCGATCATGCAGTTTGGGGACCATGCCATCCCCTTTGCATGTGAATTGGAGTCGAGCGGAACATCGTTCTCAGAGGTTTTGGTTGCAGGACAGATGTTGTGCACGTTGGGCGTCAGGAACCTTGTCCTTGCTGGTGGTCAACATGATCGCCATCGCACAGAAAAAAACACCTCTGGAAGCTTCAGCGGAATCAAGCCATGGCAGGGGACCCGGGGGGGGAAGGAAAGGACAGGGAGTCGGAAGAGATGACATGCCGTTCTTCGGATTGCTTTGGGACGGAACTCGGTTGCTGCAGGCTTCGCTTTTCCTTACCCCCTTTTAGCTCACCCTCTCGGCGGCGGAGTATGGCCTGCGGGATAGGGGTCATGGTCGGGCGCACCGGCCAAACGTGCTCTCATCGACTTGTGCCCGGGTAGATCAATTTGACCAAAGCCCATACATATAAAAAATGTATATATTATGTAGATGCCTGCATTGACCTCTGAAATCTGCCCCAATGTAGATAGAATAGGCCATACCTGGAGTGTCTGGGATCTCATACCACCTTCCGTTCGACCACCGAAGTGGACGACAGCTTGCGCGCGCCCGCGAAGCCTCGATGCGCCAGGTCGAATGGCGACGCCGGAAGATGTGCTCGAAGATGTTTAATGCCACTGGTCGACCTGTTGTGAGTGAAATCACCCAATTGGTCGTGAGTCGGTCTTGACGCGAGTCTCGGTCGGGCCAGACGATGACCGTGGTGGCTGGGGCAGTCCTGCAGGGCCGTCGGCATGTGGGTTTGGAGTTGCTTCCCCTACCAGAAGCGCAGGGGAGACCAAGACTTCAAAACCCTGTCCAATCCAAGTTGCGCTGGAAGAAACCAGCACCATCCCACAGGCCGCGTGATCGAGGACCATCCCACGGCACTTCCCGGAACGGACCATCCCACCCGGAACGGACCGGGAACACCGACAGCCGCCGAAAGAGATCGCAGGCAATGCAACACACGGGCTTTGAGGGGTTTTCGTGTCGGGCGGGATCCTTAGACCTGCCACTCTCTGCCCTTACAGGTAGGGTCATGGGATGATGCGTGGGTCTTTTGGCCACCAGCCAAACCCCTCCCTTCCTGGTCACAGCCCAAAAGAAGCGTCCGGGATGCCGTAAAGAACCACAGGTCTTCAACTCGATTCTGCCACCCTTCCTGGTGAAGCGCATCCTTCGCAACCCTTCCCACGCCATTGGCGATCGCGCCTCGGCGAACCCGGGGCAACGGGGTGCGGCGGAGGTCGACGGTCGGGTTGAACCGAGGGTCGACCTCGGCGTTGGTGTCGGGCGTGGTGCAGCTTTCGGGCGTTGGTGTTCTGAGGGAGGGCAGCGAGAGTGTGTCGGAGCTTTGAGGGGAGGGTGGGGTTTTAACGAGAAGCTGGGTGAGTAAGAGAACTGAAAGTCAGCACCAAAACCCATTGGTTGGGGATCTGCCTATCAAGAATATGCACCTGTGTGTCGTTTTGGGGCAGTGAGTTCTGCGTCCCCTTCCTTTGGGATGGCAGCCTTCTGACCAAAAAAGTGGCCTTCTTTCAGGGGTGGATCGGGTCTCGATCCTCTTCATCTTGCTGTGCGACTTCGAGAAGTATTCGATGAGCATGAGCCCGGTGAAGCTTTTTCGCTCTTTGAACGCCTCTTGGTGCCTTTAGAGGCCGCTTTGAAGTGGCAAAAAAGTTCAGTGTTCGGCATGCGACCAGACCTTGGAGGTTTGCTACATTTTGCTACTGACATGCTTGTGCTGGGCAGAGAGTTATATAGCCATTACATGACTAATTACCTCTTGGAAACAGGTTGGCCAAACATTAGTTTTCTGCAGGATGACCAGGATAACCAACATGACAGCTAGCTTTGACTAGCAATAGAGAGGGAAGCAAAGGAAAGCTCCGGAGCCCAAGCTCCGGAGCCTGCATGCTTCCTTTATATAACTTTCATGAGCTTCGACATTCGATAGGACTGACATAATCTCTATATGCAAGATGGACATGTTTCTTGTATTTCTGCTCTAATTTGTGCTTGCAAAGTAGAGAGAGAGAGAGAGAAATACTCAGCGCCGCTGACGATCCAACGATCCAACGAAACCACTTTTTGGCCGACTCATCGGTGTTCCTTACGCCTCTCAGCGATCGGGTTGCGTCGCGGAACGACGCTGAACCCCCGTTTCTTTACCTTTCTGCTTTTTAGACCTCTAAAACCATCTCAAAACCATGTGGTTTTTTCACCTTCGTTGGAGCTCCTCCCCTCTCGGTTTCCACTTCAGCACGTTCCGCCTTCAGTGCGTGGAACACCACGACGTGAACGAACGCACTTCTTTCTTCGCAGCGGGTCGACGACACCTTCCGCTTCTACTCGGGAACCGAGGACACCTTCATCGAGATCGACGTGATTTGCGCCACCCATGGCGTGACCAAGATCGAGACGGTTGGCCGCTGGGCGGTTGGCGATGGGCAGAGGGACAGAGTGAGGGGAGGCCGTTTCAGGGTTCTTCAACTTTGGGGAGGCCTATGGCCAATGGCTGCTTAGAAATCTTTCAATCTAGAGTTCTGGATGTTCCAAGCAGGAAAGCTCCACTTGAAGCAGTCTTGGGGTGTAGCTTTCCAAGAAGCAGTCAGTGAGGAATTCTTGAATATTTCAATTCCAGATCCTCCCAGAGATCTCCAAACTCTCGAGGTCGCTGGCTCGTTCCATTTCCAGCTCCTCCAAAACACGCCTCAGGTGAAGAGTACGTGTGCGGCGTGGGTGTCTCCCCCACCGACCAGGATGAGGCCCGACAGCTCGAACGATCGAAGGTACAGTAAGTGAGAAGAAGTCCTTTGGTGTTTGGAGAATATGAGACGGTAGTAGCTGGCTGAAGAGTAAGAGCTACTACCCGTTTTGGTTGAGAAGCAGGTCCTACTCGTCCTGCGTGGTTTTTCTTGGCGCGGTCTTCAGGATCACATGACGGGGCACATGGGCTGTCTGAACCGGCTGCTGACGGTTGCATGGGAGCTGAAGAACTTACCCAGGACGGTGGGGAAGCTCTGTGACAGACTGGACGGCCAGACGGACTGGACTGTTGTTGGGTTTAGCATCAAGATCATCAAGGTGATGGGGCATGGTGGTGTGTCCTTGATACAGCTAAACCGCGGTGGTGTATGTTTGGTGTTTGGCTTGGCTTGGAGGACCTTCTGAGAGTGAGATTGATGGTCGCAGACTAAAGGCCAGAAGAGATGTGACATTCCAAGAGCTTCGTCGGGCCTGCCATCTCAGGCGTCAGGCACTCCATGTATGGTATAATGGTAAGTCAATGTAGGCATATATGACAGACACAGAGTGTCTGGGTCTGGTTTCCCTCATTGTGGTCCTGAATCCATCACGGTTCCATCACATGCCCGACCTACATGGCGCTCCCAGCGCGTTGCTTCGCACCCTCGCGCACGGGGGGTCTGCAGGGAGGGGAAGTTCAATAACTCCACCCTGGGGTGTGGGGTACACCAGTCGACGACGGTGTCCCACGTCTTTCGGTGGTACCAAATCTAGTTGAGCTGGATCCATCATGATCCATCGACATGTTCCTTCCCTGGGTTGTGAGCACGGCCAGCACGGCCTGCGTTTGGGTGCGCTTCTCAGGAGCACCGTGAATTCTGAGGTGCCTCGGGCTGCCAAGAATACCGAGGAACCCGGATGTTAGGTCGACCTGGACGTTTTGGTATCCAAGAGCGGCGCTTAGAGGGACCTGGAGTTGTGGAGGGATCTTCCTTTGCGATGCACCCATGTCCGGCTCAATCTCCACCGGCTCTTCCCGTGCAATGTCCAGTGCCAAAGGTAAGCAGCTCCATTTCGCGCTCACTGGGAAGCACCACCACCTGGAACGGCGGGCCGTGGCAAAAACAACCTTTGGTTTTCGACCTGACTTCCACCACCGGAGGGCCATGGGGTGTGCGGCCATTGGGTTTACCTTTAGACCCTCGTCCAGTCGTGCTTGGACTGAGGTGAAAATGGGCATCCACACAGGTCCCGTGGTGGCCGGGGTGGTTGGAAAGAGGCGCGGCCGCTCCGCGTGGAGCCGGGGTTTTTCAGGGACTGGCAGGCAAGGGGGTCACACGGGTCGTTGTGCACGAGAGGCCCGGGAAGGATCACACAGACGGGAGGGAGGATCGCCTTAGGCGCTAGCCACTTAGCCCTGCCATAGATCCGCCATAGATTCTCTTCGGATCGGAATCCACCTGCAGATCGAACCAAGAAAAGCTTTCACTCGGGAGGACTTCTGTTTTTTTCATCAGAAGCATCACTTCGGGTGGTCCTGGACGGTCCTCGGGGACAGACAGCAAGCGCTGAAAACCATTGGAGATCCTCATGACCTGGTAGATGTGACTCAGAAAATAAGACCCGCATGAAGACGATGCCGTAGATTGACAGTGCTGTTCAAGTAAAATCCGTGACCAAGACCCATGGCCCTCTATTATTGAGCCATGGTCTCATCCAGGGTCACTGCATGGTCTTTCTTCCACCTGAAGAACTGCCATTGCTATTAGGTTGGAGGCCATTGCTATTAGGTTGAAGGCCATGGCCATTATGTTGGAGGCCATTGCTATATATACTTATGTTTCCACTCAGGCTGCCGCGCTTCCGGCTCTTTGGGGACACCATGAACACCGCCGCGCGGATGATGCAGAAGGGGCTTCCAGGGGAGGTGCGGCACCGCGCGGTTGGCGCGGTTTTCCCGGGGGGATCGGAGCTGACGATGCCTGACTTGGCAGGGATTGCTTGGGCAGTACTAGGTGCATGATGGCGGCATGTGCTGGGCTCATGGAAGGACTTTGCAACATCTTCCGTGGACATCCAACATGAAGACCTTCCTTGAAAGATCTTAGGGCCTTTCGGAAAGACCTTAGGTCATGAACTCTGGCGGCCCATCAGCATCCAATCCGGACGCCCATCAGGATCTGACCCTGCATAGCGGGGGCTGGACTCCATTAACCAGGCGATTTGTACCCTGAATGCCACCCATACTTCACTGGCACCACCTGCGACGTTTTAGTCTGGCAAACGCCTCCATTTCGGAGACCTGTTGGAAGGTGCTGGTAGCTGGGGGGTTAGATCATCTTCATCCATGGTCGCTCGGGGTGCCATCCTTCATCACAGCGACCGGTGCTTTTGGGTGGGCCGTTGTTCTCGACCTGCAGACGTCTGGGGGCGCCAACGTCGTGGGCCCCGCACCACCGAGGGCGAGGCGCCCCAAAACCCAAAACGACGACGGTCCCCGGGCCGACGCCCCCCCGGCTCCTTCTTCTTGGAAAGCCTGGGTTTCAATGGCCGTTTTCGATGGCCGGTCAGGGTTCGGAGCCCAAACTGGTTCGGAGGGTCAGAATGTTTGGAGCACCTTGACATGCCGTTACTAAGCATCATCCATTGGGTCCATTGGGCCCAGGTCAGGGGAGATATTACCCAAGATCGGGCCCAGTGCCAGAGTTGCCATTCACCGATGATTGGGGATGGGGTGAAGACCTCGACGTGCTTCGCTGGGATGAACGACAGGTTCAATTTGGGGACGAGACCATGAAGTATTTGCCGCCCTGGGCCACGGTGAAGCAGCGTGGCTTCGTCGAGCCTCGGAATGCTGAAGAATGGGAGGAACCCTTGCAGCTGATGTAACGAGAGATTTTTTCAGTTCTAGCAGTTGTTGAGGGTACAGTATAGGGTAGGGTAGGCAGGGTTGCCCCCCGTCACATGCACTCACGAGGGGCCTAAAAAACCACGCCCCTTTGCTACTCCTGATCTGTTTGTTTCGTTTACAATGCCAAAACATGATCTCCTCACGGAAGGGTTTGGTTTGGCGGCCGCGGCTCAGGAGATGAAGGGCAAGGGCAACGTGATGACTTACCTGCTGATGCTTGGCTCATGAAAACACGCTTTTGCCGGCCTTGGGGCCTTGACCACGTCGATCGAATGAACGTTTTGGGTCGGGATTGGAATCTGGGGAACAGCAACCGCCCCACTTTGTAGACAGTTGTAGACTCTTTCGGTGGTTTCTTTCACTCGCCCAACTCAATTGCATGAAGACCAAGGGTGGTTGACGCCTTTGGATTTGCATGGGGTCCCACTGACGCCTTTGGCCCATGTAGTCTTCAGTTTGGTCGTTGCTTTGGACCACAGACCCCGACCTTTCACTCGATCGACCAGAAGACGAGCAGCAAGTTGGGCCTAGAACATTTTGTTGGTGTAAATGACGGCAAATTTGTGTCTGCCAAACCCTCTTTCAAAATACAAGTTTTCTAGAACAAAGCCACCACTGGTGGACATTTATAGGACTATTATAAGACTATTTAAAGCGTTTTGAGATGTTTCAGCGAGATGGCACTTTGGATGACACAAAGATGAGCACAAGAGGAAATCAACACTATCCCAAAAGAAAGCCATTCCAGCTAGTGGAAGACCAACTCTTTTTCGAAGGACGCCTGCGGAGCTGTGAGGACTGCGGACAGGAAAAGGATGGAAAGGGTCCAAACTCCCCAGAACCAGTGCAAGCAAAAACCAGCCAGCCCAGGAAAAGGGAACAGGAAAAGCCAGCAGAAAAGCCAGCCAAGGACTTTTCCTGAGGTCCTGGACGAAGCAGCCAACCCCACCGACCCCCCTGTCTCTGCTGCTTCGAACACCGCCCGCAGAGGCGTGGTGAGCCGCCCGTGGAGAACGGCCTGGACTCCATTCGCCAGACCAGCGAGCGGCTGAGCTCCTTGGGTGGTATCGCGTGGTTTTTGGCGTGGGGAGAACTTGCTCGGGATTTGATAGATCTAAACCTCAACACCATAGACCAGGAGCCTCCGTTCGGGGTGTCTATCAATAGTCTCTTTGGAGGTGAGGAACCGGGGTGTCCAAAACCCCCCCCCACCCGGGCGAACGGAAGGTGCTGGGAGATGGGTCCCAAAAATTCGAAGGCACGGCTTTCCGAAAGCCCAGGTCGAAGTGACCTATACCTCACCCAAGCGGGACCCGGAAGGAAGGAACCACCTGGTTGGTTGACCTATACCTCACCCAAGCGGCACCCGGAAGGATTCTCACCTGGTTGGTTGCTCCACTCCACACCGAAGACCGAGACCGAAGACCGTCAGGGGGTCGCTCAACGCAGCGACCCGAGGCGTCCCGGCGGTGGGCGCCCTGGGGACGGAGGAGCGAGACTTGGAAGGCGTCTCGGAGCGGACGGACGGTCCGTCGCCCCCGCGCAGGCGCGTGGCCGGTTTTGGGGCCGGTTTTGGGGCAGGGAGAAGGGCGGCTGAGATGGGGGGCGAAGGAGAGGAGGCATGGGGCGAAGAAGGGTGTTGCAAGAGGTTTGATGAGCTGATGATGAGCGAAGTTGAGGTTTGCAGTGCTCTTTTGGAAGTAAGATGCGCAGCGCTAAGAGGCTAAGACTCTTGGATACGTTGAGCATTTGATGACGATCGACTCCGCCGTGGTCTGAGTCTGCGCTCCGAGGGAATGCTTCATACACGAGGGGTACCACGTAGCCAGGTAGGAGGCAAGGCGCATCGGCGGCCCTTTTAAAGACGGCCTGGACAGGGAGCATCGCTACTTCACGGATGCGGCGGTCCACTTTGAGCATTCAGGACCTGACAGGCCGCGCCTTCCGAAGGTTCCGAAGGTTCGGTGGTTTTCTCCTGCACCAAAGACGGCCAATCTTTCTAAATGTTCGGAGGAAAGAAGAGACTGGGGGGTGGAACCGTGCTTCTTCATGTGGGCGGGTTGGGTTGGGGGGTCGGTCTTCTTCAAGATGACAAGGGGAATGAGTTCGGGCCGAGACCATCGCTGTCCTTGGGCCCAAGACCAGAATTTGCCAGGCGATATCCACCTCAAGGAAAGCCCGCGAAAGAGTCTGGTCTTACTGGTATGATGGTCTTTAAGAGTCTTGACAAGTCTTAACAATCACAAGAGCCGCCTTTCTTTTTGGTGTCCTCCTCTTTCCATACATAGGGGGGGGCCGCCAGGTCGGAGCGCTCGGATGGCCGTGCGCAGACGCAGCCCTCCCATTCCAACGGGCGTGGCGTTGCTCGGAACGCGATGAACGAGAAAACACCGAGACGACCCGGGGCGTTATGTAGACTGGATTTTTAGTTTTGGCATGAAGGCTAGTGTCTCACGACGCACCAGCATCTCAAAGAGGCTGGGCCCGTGGCGAATCCAGTCGGTCAGGAGGTGTGAGTTTGACCCTTTTGCAACAGGACCCTCTGTTCGGAGTGTCTATAAATAGCCTCTCAGGAGTGAGGAACGTGGTGTCCCAAAACCACCGGGCGAACGGAAGGTCCTGGGAGATGATCTTTGATGACGGACAATGCTATTGACGCACAGGAATGTTTGACCGCTCAGTGTTTGTCAGGTGTGATGGCTGTGCGGTGGCTGTTGTGATTGCAGTCCCTTACAGTGACAGAATGAGCCAGTTCACAGCCCGCAGGACTTGGTTGTCCCGTCGTACCCCGCCTTGTTCTGAGCCCCATCTCTCCTGGACCTCCCGCCGAGCCGGACGCACTGAGAACCGGAAACACTCCACGGGCAGCCCCAATCGCCTGGCAGGTGGGGGGCTGCGTTGGATGGGGAAGAGGTGGAGATCAGGGGGAGGTAGGAGTGCAATTTTTAGCACCACTAGTCCAGTAACCTTGGTTTGTACATGGCAGCATGAGGTCTCACAGTGTTGAGAGCCAAGGGGGTTGACGACGGTCTTGGAAAGACTCCACACCGCACAGTCAGAGAGGACCCGTTGAACGAAAGAACACTTTCCAACTGCACCACGTTGCCTGGCAAAAAACGGTACCCCCCAAAACCCACCGTCTTGTATAGGGCGTTTCTCGTTCCCCCCGGCCGTTTGCGTGACGACGCGAACAACAACACCCGAAAACCAGAGCCCGGTCGGATTCCTCCGGGCGGGGGTCGCCCCAGCGACGCGCACGGAGGTATCGTGAAGGAGCTCTTGGGCATGAACGGCGAGAACTCGGACACTGACTACGACGGGGAGGCGGGATGTGGAACGGAGGGATGCGGCATGCGGATGGACCATTGAGCACCGATTTTGGGGGAGAGTTGATTGGGAGAAGGATTTTTGTGTTATTTTCTATTGGTTACCTCCCTCTCTCTATGTATAGAATGTACATGAATGTACGGCATTTCGTATGCCGATCTGTACCGACCTTTGGGGACTGTGCGTGTTCGCTCACGTCGCGTGCCTTGTTGCCAGGACATCTTGGAGGTGGCTCGTGAAGTCACCAAGTCGTGTCTTGGAGGCATGGGCACTGGGCACCCAAGCCTTGTGTCTAGAAGCATAGTTTGGGTTGGTGAACACCTGTGAACTTGGGCTTGCTAGAGACACGTTGCACAGTTCTACAGGTTTCGGCCACCCATTTCTAATGCTGGTTTAGGTAGATGAATACAACTGGTAGTTAGTTACCCTCAGATTTGTTTGCGACCCAAAACAAGTGGTTATGGGCTGACGCGTACCAACTGGGATAGCCTAGTTCATTTCAAGTAACCCATGGTCTGAAGGGCCTTAAGACACTTTGGCTTGACTGGCACCTGGAATACAGCCACGAGGACCGCAGGTCGCAGTCAAAGCCGTCTCTGAGAGGTTGTGTCACTTTCTCCGAGGCAGAGCAGCCAAATCCTCTCATGGTGGAGCACCGCTGGGACCCTGAAACGCTTCTTCCACTGGCTCACAGACCCGTACAGGCGCGAAAGACTGGGCCTCCCTGGACCTAGGTCCCCGCTCCATCGCTCCATCTGGCCCCGTTTCCATCCGTCAGGTGATGTCGGCTTGGCTTTTTGTGGTGGGCCTCATCGGTGGCAGAGCAAGACACCAGGGATTCCCACCTTCTTCTACCTATGTAGATCTGTATAGCCATTGAAGACTGGGCCTCCGGCTTCGATGCTAACATGGACATGAAGAGGCTGTGGTTTTGGAGCCGTATTCAATGGATCTGCAGGTGGGCGGCGCCCCGGGGCTTTCCGCTCAACGAGGAAGACGTGGCCTGTCCGCACCGTTGGGAAGCCGGTCGGGAAGGAGGAACATGGTCCCTGCTCAAGTCTCTTTCCACCATCGCCCTTCGGACCCCAACGCCGTCTGCAGAAGGGTTGATGAGTGCACCGATGAATCAACCTGTAAAAATGATTCTGAAGACATGCCTGCCAGCTAGGTTTCTGCAAGAGAGTTCTCTCACGGATGTTCTTATTATATAAGTCTTATTAAACTTGTCATTGTTATAAGTTATTACTATGATTATTCTTTTTGTCTTAGTTCCCCAAACAGTTTACTGTTAGGGGTTCTCAATTCTTTCTTAAGATGTGTCCGCCCTTTGTGTCACTGCTGGTGTCCGCCCTTTTCCGCTGGCCATGTAGCATTTCTATTCATTTGTCTCCCATGTCTGTCATTGCTGGCGTCCGCCCTTTTCCGCTGGCCATGTAGCAGTTCTATTCAATTCATTTGTCTCCCAGGTCTGTCGCTGCTGGTGTCCGTCCTTTTCCGTTGGCCATGTAGCATCTCCCTTCTGTCTCCTTTTGTCTCCCTTCTTGTCTCCCTTCTTGTCTCCCTTCTTGTTGGTCACTGTGTTCGGCTTGTCTCCCTTGTCTCCGGTCTTGTCTCCCTTCTTGTGGGTCATTGTGTCCGTCTTGTTTTTTTCTCCCTTCTGCTTCCTTTCGTCTCCCTTCTTGTCACCCTTCTTGTTGATCATTGTGTCCGTCTTGTCTACCTTCTGTTATCTTTTGTCTCCCTTCTTGTTGGTCATTGTGTCCGCCTTGTCTCTTTCTGTCTCCCTTTGTCTCCGGTCGTGTCTTCCTTCTTGTGGGTCACTTCTGTTTCCTTTTGTCTCCCTTCTTGTTTGCCTTCTTATCATTGTGTCCGCCTTGTCTGCCTTCTGTCTGCCTTTCTCTCCGGTCTTGTCTCCCTTCTTGTAGGCCATTGTGTCCGCCTTGTCTCCCTTCTTGTCTCCCTTCTTGTTGGTCATTGTGTCCGTCTTATCTCCCTTTGTCTCTGGTCTTGTTTCCGTTCTTGGTGGTCATTGTGTCCGTCTTGTCTCCCTTCTGTTTCCTTTGGTCTTCCTTCTTGTTGGGCACTGTGTCCGTCTTGTCTCCCTTCTGCTTCCTTTTGTCTCCCTTCTTGTTTCCCTTCTTGTTGGCCATTGTGTCCGTCTTGTCTCCCTTCTATTTCCTTTTGTCTCCCTTCATATCTCCCTTCTTGTTGATGTCTTACAAAGTGGACTTGGGAATGCTTCGTTGTTGTCCCACTTGTTTGGGGATCTACGGTGGTGTAATATGGTGTAATTTTCTTTTTACACCTCGCCTTCCAGCCATGAAGTTGGACGCTGCAACTTATCGAGTCCCTTAGCGAAGCGTGTCCGTCGCGCCGCATTTTTTTCGTGAACTGTAAGGCGTTCCTCTCCTATTTCCACCATGACTACAGCTGTGTCAGACGCTCGACTCCAAAAGCTTTTAGAGCAGTTTGTTGATAGCCGCCGTTGCGAGGAGTCCGAGGGCACTGTTGGGTATTTCCTTTTACCAGGACATCCTAAGGGGTATTATCTATCAAAAACCCCTTGGAGGTTAAGGGGTATCTATTAACCACCCCTTGTGGGCCATGGTATCAACCAGTGTTTTCTTTCTTTTTGTATTTTTTTTCTGGGAACAATATTTGTTTTTTCGTCCAGCAGATACTTTGGCAGAGCTGACCTCCGATAGTCTTTTTCTGCATGTACCAGAGCATAGCGCTATCAGATATCACTCGTTTCCAGTGAGGGACACATGCGCTGGCGACACTCATGGGACGCTCGCCGAGATGGTTGAACGGTTGGTCACACATGGCCAGAGTTTTCTACCAGGTCTATTGCCAGACGCTTGTTGACCTGCTCAGATGAAAACAGGGACCTGAAAAGATGTGAGATGATGAACAGATGCCATTCTGCTTCTGTCAGGACTGCTGAAAGAGGTACGCAAGCAGGCGTTCTCTTCGCTGGTGGTGACCCTTCTCACAACAGTGCCTTGGGCGCCCAAGAGGTTGGTGGGCCGGTGCTTGAAGGATCGATCATGGAGAAATCCATTTGAAGGATATCCACACCCGATCCAAGATGTCCTTTTGAGTATGTTGTGGCAGTTGTGCATGGTGCCAGTGCTCCATGGGCTTCGGACGGGATGAGACGAAGTTCCGGCCCGGTGGTTCAGACCAATCCAGAAACAGCCCTCCAAGAAGAGAAGCTCCACAAGCTGACACTTGAGAAGTTTCTTCAACCTTTTTTTGCTTCAAAACTATCTGAACAGGAACAAACCATCAAACACAAAAACATAGACACACTCTGACATGGGTTTTCAGTTAGCTCAGTTCCCAAGTCGAGAAGGAAGGTGAGGGAAACGCAAGGTGAAAAGGTCAGCGCAACTGAAATGTTTGACAAATTGTTCACTTGTCTGCAGGTCACGAACGCGCAGCAGCTGAAAGCGGCGGAAGGAAAATGGTTTGTGGGAAGTATCATGAACCACCATGGAATCAAACAAGGAGGATTGGAACAGCTTGCTCAACCGTTGAAGCAGGTACAGGTGGATGATCAGTCCACCCATCCCTCGATACACCAGAGCTTCGTTGCGTCAGGTAGGTGTATCGAGCCTGACGCCCCTGCTTTGGAAACATGGAAGAGGTGGAACCCTTGGAGACAGGGGTTGACACAGACACGGTGCCGCTTGGCGGCGCTCGCGTGGAAGGCCTGAATAGATACCTACAAAGCCTTTGAAGCAAAAGAAAGAAACACAGAAAGAGCAACGCTAACAGGGCAAGAGAGAAAGATAGGAGTAGAAAAATGAAAATGAATACTTAGCCCTTGACTGGGGTAGGGAAACGCGCCTCAAGAACAACCTAAAAAGCCTGAGAGAACGCCCAAATGACTACCTAGCACTCTAGGGTTACTGACTACTTAGGAGAAACGAATTACGTGCAATAGTTAGGGAGCGGGACTTTCGTCTTAAACCGCCCGGGTAGAGTAGACTAGAAAAGGGACAACAGAGGGAAAGGCACCGACACACAAGTGTGTCGAGTACCATTTCCCTGTGTTACCCTAATTAGGTAGGGGGTAGAACTCGGGGGGGGGGGGGGTTGGGGAACATGCCTGACCTCAAGTGGAATTCCGTTGTTTTGCCCGGCGGCTGTGGTATCATGTCGTATTAGCCCGGCGGCTCTTGAATCAGTTGATTCAGTTATGAAAAGGTGGAAGACAAGGTGCAGTGGAAGAAGTAAATCCGTTACACGATTTCCGGAGTGAATTCAGCGCCCCTGTCACGGGGATCACACCCAGCACCCAAGTGGGACGGCTGAGCGGTTCACACTCTGACATTGGCTTTCAGTTAGCTCAGTTGGCAAGTCGAGAAGGAAGGTGAGGGAAACGCAAGGTGAAAAGGTCAGCGCAACTGAAATGTTTAACAAATTGTTCACTTGTCTGCAGTTCACGAACGCGCAGCAGCTGAAAGCGGCGGAAGGAAAATGGTTTGTGGGAAGTATCATGAACCACCATGGAATCAAACAAGGAGGATTGGAACAGCTTGCTCAACCGTTGAAGCAGGTACAGGTGGATGATCAGTCCACCCATCCCTCGATACACCAGAGCTTCGTTGCGTCAGGTAGGTGTATCGAGCCTGACGCCCCTGCTTTGGAAACATGGAAGAGGTGGAACCCTTGGAGACAGGGGTTGACACACACACACACACGGAGAGAAGACACGGACTCTGCTAAAACCCCGACCGTTTATTACTGTTTGGGTCACTGCCTGGGGTATACAGACAGTTGCTATTTTCAGATATATAGTCGATCTCAACCAAGCTCATTTGCAAGTCTCGTTGCTGGGGGTTGTGATCACGCCACCTCTCTGACGGGACTTCCGAGACCTACGCGGCCTCGAAGCTGAATGGGCTTGAAAGCCGCTGGGCGGATGTCAGGGTGGCTGGGCGGGTGTGGTGCAAGACAAGGAGTATTAATGTAATGATATATAAATCAATATAGACATCATATATCTATGTGTCTATATCTATTTGTTCTCTCTAATGATTATATATCATATACTAACACATATTTCGCTTGGGACGGTGCTATGGCTGTCATGGGCCATGGCTGTCATGGATCAAGACTGGACCCCAAAACAGGGAGAATGGGTGAACAAATGCCGCCAATGCGTACTCTGTCGGCCCCAGTACGTGGCGGTGTTCTTTCGTTCCCTCTTCGCCGCCGAGGCCCGCGGGCATTCGGGTCTTCGATGCTTCGGATCAAGTGGCGTCTGGGCAAAGTGGAGGAAGGGGAGATTATTGTTATATGCTCTATATCAGTATCTTGTTATTATGCATTAGATTCATTAGATGTGTTGGCTTTCTTTTGTCCGGTGCCTATTTTTTTGGGTTTGTTTTGTTTTGTTGTCCCGAGTCTCTGGGTGTTCAGTCTCTCTGGCTCTGTCAGACTCGGACGTCGTGCGGGCCTTGCGTTTCTCCTTGAATGGACAGCCTCCATGGCCCACGGAGGGCCAAGCGGCCAAGCGTCAGGTTTCTCATCGTCCGGATGCTCATTTGGCTTCTGATCCTGGCTTTCTGGCACGCCGTGGCCCGTGGCTACCTGCGGCAGGGCGACGTGCTCCGAAATCAGGCGACCGACGCCGGCGACCAGCGGTCGTCACCGGGACCCCGGGGATTTCCCCCGGGGGTGGGAGGAGAAAGAACTCTTTTCGAAAAGAAAAAGATGATGCGAAGCTTTGAACACATAGAATCTCACGGGCTCTGAGCTATCTATCGACTGCCTGGGCGTGTTTTGCATGGTCTTTTGGAGGTTTTGGTAGTCGGCCGCGTGAAGATCTGAGGCCAAAGAGTAGAGACCTGTTGGCCTGAAGAATGGGGGAATGAATATTGAAGTGAACGATGATTAAAGATGTGTGTTAAAATTCTATGATGATTCTATCTCTCAAGTCCTGAAGGTATGTAGATGAGGAAGGACATGAAAAGACATCGAACAGATGTGGTGTGGGATTTACTCTTCTATTTGATTCTATGTTTGAAAGGGGATCGTAGGTCGGGAGATGACTCATGTCTCATGATCGGTTGACTCTCGACGACTTGGAGGAGATGAGATGGATGTATGGATCACTTGCCATTTCCGCGGTTCAATTTTGGGCACCATTTTTGGGTGAGGTCTATATTTAGGCAGTAGAAGGTTGTGCCCACAAAGACTTCATCCAAGACACCTCTGGGCCTCGAGTAGCCACGAGTAGTTATTAGTTATTAGTTATCGGCAACGGCCCCAGTTCAGGGCGTTGGTTCAAGCATCCAACTGAGTAACTGTTCAGATGCCGGGCGGCAACTTTCAAATGACCACATCCACCGGGGGGTTCCTCCGACCGACCTCTCGACCGACCTGTACGGAAGCTCCGGGGCTCATGGACGGGCTGCCGTGGACCGTCGCAGGCAATCCTGTCGACGTGCCTTGGAGGAGTTTCTGAGGCGGAAGGGGAACAAAGAAAGAGGAGCCCAGGACTCTTCCCTTTGAAGATCCTCATTTTTTTTTTCCGAAAAGCCACCTGCGAAGGGTTCTCCGAACGGCCAACTTCAACCGTCCAACTAATGATCATTGTTGTCGATCATCTTCTGAGAGCTGAGGTGCTGTTCAGAGATCCGTCCATCCGTCCCCTACACTGGGTTTGGGTGTGGTAGAGGTTCATCAGTCTAGGACTTTCTGCTGCACGCTGGAAGGCAGCCTATGGATCTTCCAACTATGCAAAGTATCTGACCTTTTCATCCAAAAACCTGCCAGAAGGCAGACATTTTGCATAGCCGGAAGATGCAGGTTTGTGACACCCTGAGGTTAAGTCGGGCCCAGCACCCTGGATTTTCTTGGCAACCCCGGACGGCGACCCGGGGGGGAAAGGGGCGGGGAGCCTGAAGCAGAAGGCAGGCCCAGCTTTTTGGGCATGGTTTTTCACCACTCATGAGAGCAGCTGTTCGATGTTCGAAAGGAATCAAGACTTGGGTCCCAAAAAGCACGGAACACCTTTCTCCGAGAAAAGAAAACGCAAACCTCAGGGTGAAGCACACCCTGGGCCTCTTGATCTTCGTGTCCTACGGCATCTTGTTGAAGATCATGTTCAAGGATATGCCCGGCGAGATGCATCACGGCCGATGGGCGGTCGAATGCCCTCGTGGCCTGGCGAAACAGGGTCTCGTCCACCAAGGGAGCCAGTATGGCCAGGGAACCATCAAGGAGGTAGACAAAGGGGCCATCAAGGAGGCACCCTTTGGGGTTTGCTCTTTGGGAGGTAGGGTACCCTAGATGGCCTGGCCTGCCTTATAGTTGGCTTGGTTTGGATGACGAATAGAGGTTCTCAAACCCCGGTCGTGTTTCTTCCACGTGCGATCCTGCGGTACGAAACTGACCCCTCTGTTTTTTTCTCAACAGGACATCATATAGTGGGTGTGCTTTCAATCCAAAGACTTTGAACGTTGGAGAGTAGCGCAGTTGATGCCTGGACCACCTCTTGCTTCCAACAACGGAGTGGACCCTGAGAAAGGGTTCCTTGATTCGATTTCATCTCTTCAACAGTGGACAGCCGCTTGATGAGATGGTCAGATGTAGGCAATGATCAACTCTGAGCTTGTGCCTTGGACTCCTCCAAGTCCCTCCCTGGCCGCCCTGAGCCCTGGGCCGCCCCTGGCCGCTGCGAAGGCTTTTCCATCCTGGGGATCTCCGACAACATCGTTCCGCTAGCGCTCTTCACCGAGCCACTGGGCGGCAGCGGTGCTGGGCGGGGTGCTGCTTCAGTGGTCGAACCAAGCCAGGCATGCGAGGCCCCCATGTTTGGTGGCCACCATGCGAGGCCGCCTGAGACGCCCCGTGGGTCTCCGGCGGGGGGTTCATGGGGTTCGAAACCCGTTTTGTCCGGTGTTTGAACTGGCGAACCGAAGAGTCTGTAGCGGGTGTGTTGAAAATCCGCTGGATTTGGGGGTTGAGGGTTTTGAGATGTTTCCATTTCCAGTCTGAAGTTGCAGAAAGCCTCTTTCTTCGATCCCTTACCGGTTTGCATGGGGCAGAAATCCGTCCCACACCTGTTCTCACTGTTTAAGGCTTCTGTCCAACTACCTGTCCGACACCTGTTTACTCCATCCCTCACTGCTTGCTCACTTGGAATCCGCAAGACATCTCTGTCCGACATCTCTGTCCGGCACCTGTTTGCACATTGGAGGAATTTGTCTTAGACTCCACACCTGCCGGGTTCTCCCTGCCGTATCTGCCGGAGTCTCGTGTTTTTGGAGGGTTTCCTCCGGACGCAAGAAGCGAAAGGAACAGAATACTGTGCTGTTGCAAGCGCTGAGGTTCCTTTCTTCAGCGCTCAGGCAATATCGAATCCTTTCTTCCGTTTTGGCCCTGTGATAGGACGTCCGCGAGCATTTTTTTGTTTGGAATGCCCAAAAGGGAGAGGAGTGGGCATTCTTTTCATCATACATCGTCTTTGTATCTCAGAGGGTCCTTGAGAAGTTGTGGCATCCGAGGGATGGTGCCCCTGACCCTTGGCCACGAAAGGATCTCCAGCTTCCATCCAATTCCATCCAACGAGTTGAGACATCTTCCAACCTTCGCAGAGAGACGTGTCGCGGCTCCAACCCGCCCCCCCTTCGTACCTCCCCAAGAAAGGACACCTCCAACGAGTGGACTGGAGAACTCCCGTCCCCCCTCAGGTTCTGTTACTGGATGACCAAAGCGCAGACCTTGTTCATGCCTGCAGTGATTGGCGTGGTGGTGACCGCCGTCGTACTGACCATCCTGGGCTTTCAGAGCGCCACTGGGCCGCACGTCCGACCGATGCCGCTCCGCCCAGGGCATTTGAGGATCCATCTGCCGAAGCGTCGATCGAGTCAGATCCAAGCGACAGCGACTCAGCGCGAAGCCGTTTGGGGTCTCACACTTCAAGGAGAAACACATCCAACACAAAACCACAGTTTTCTCGGTGCTTCATTTTACCTTCGACGGTCCTCTGCCGCGATCCGCCACCAGGGGCCAAGGTCCCAAGAATTCCAGCGATCGTCGCCGGCAATCTGCCCCCGGGCAGTTTTTTTGTATTCACCAAACGCCGAGGTTTGGGCCAGTGGACCTTTCCTTCCCCCCACCAAAAAAAGGATAGGCCGAGGTCGTACTGTCCTGCTTCCGAGCTGACACATTGTTTGGTCGTTTTGTTTGGTGTGGTTTGAAGATACCTACTAGGCTGGTGACCAAGGCTCTTCTTGAAGGCCAACGCCGATGGTCGTCTCCGAGTTCGCAGGCCGCCCGAACGGGCGGATGGTGTTCAAGACGCCGCGTCCGGTCGACCGGATTGTGGCCTGCTCCAAGGATGTGGATACCGGTGGCCTGCTGATTTTCTTGGTTGCTCGGGGCACCCAGCGCGGAGACGATCCGGCTGGGATGGTAGCGCAAGCCGAGAGCGCGCCAGAGTCTGACTGGGACGGGTCCAGGGCCTCCTGGACATGGGTGTCTTCCAAAATCAGCAGCATTCAACTTCCAACCTTCCAAATCTTCCAACAGCCAATTGAGACCAAGGGTCTCACCCTTCACCTGTAGTAGGACTGGATGACCGTCCGTGGGCGGAGCTGACCAGCAAACCATAGAGCAAGCAGGTTCTTGGCAGGGCCGTCCCGGTGAACAGCCCTGCATGGACGCAGTCACTCCCTGAGTCCTCATGGTAGAAGTGGAGGTGGCTCCTTGGAGGTGGCTCCTTGGAGGTCCTTGGAGGACCCCTTTGTATCCTTGGTGTCCTCTTCCACTTTTTGGTAAAACCATTTCAGGGCAGTCTCACGTTAAAACCTCCATCTTCGTGGAGCCCAAGGGATCGGAGACGCTGGAAACGAACGAACCCTCCACGCGCCTGCGCATGGCCCGCACGCATGGCCGCCAGGTCGTCAGCCTGTTCAACGCCTTTCGGATCTTCTCGATGGAGTATGTCCTGCGCGAGAGGCGGCCGGGGGGGTCCCAACGCGTCGCAGCGAGTTGCAGCGGGTGAGTTGGGGATGAGGTTGGACGGGTGAGACGACCCGGGGGTGAAGCCTCTCCATGTCTCGTCTCGTTTGGTGAGGCACATTGGGATGCGCCGGGTGGAGATGATGCAAGAGAAGATGGAGGCCGAAGATCTCGGGAGAAGGAACTATCGATTGGAACCGTGGACGTTGAGACGTGTCCAGTCCAGCGCCTGGAGGGTTCTGGGACCGTCCAAAAACCGCACGCTTTTTTTAAACAATACGGGGCATCTCGACTCTCCAACAAGGATTTTGAAGTTTTTTGGTTCTTGGCACAAAGTGGTCTATGGGGCAGACAAGAGCTTAGGTCCCTAGATGTATTGGGCTGGATGACTCGTCGAAGCCAAAAAGAACAAGTACACGCCCTGAATGTCGATGTTGATCTCCATCTGGCAGGACATTTTGAAAACGTTGATGCCTCCGCTGGTCATCAAACAGATCAAAAGAACCTTTGCTGCAAGGGATTGCGGTGCTTGCCGCGAGCGGAGGTGAGAGAGGACTTCCCATCCGATCTAGGTCTCTAGGTTTGGCTTGTTTCTTGCTGCCAGCACCTGGACTTCCCCAGGACCATGAAGTTCTTGGAATCAATCTTCTTGGGGAGTCCCGCTCCTTTGGCTTCGTTCTCCAGATTCCTCCTGTGTCAGGGTGGCCCTGGAAATTTCAGGCTCGAAGCGGCGACCGTTGTGAGTTGTGACCCTTGCCGACCGTGACGTGACGGACCTGTCCGTTCCACCACCCCCGGCAGCTCGCGAGCCTGGGGGGGGGGGCCAAGGTCTCTGGACCCTCCTCGCCTTCCCAGCCTTGGCTCGCAGCCTCCCCCCCCCTCCCCCCGGCTCCGAGCTGTCCGCGCGGCGCTCCGGTGGCTCGAGCTGTTGCAGCAGCGGCGTCCGCCCACCAAGGCCAGGGCACCTTCGTGTCACACAACTACCGATCCGCCCCTGGGCGGCGGAACGCGTGCGCGGAGAGGAGGGCGCGCGCCCGGTCTGCGGGAGAGGAGGGCGAGAGGTTGGTGACGTGGAGGACGGTGGAAGAAGCTAAAAAAATGGGGTGGCCAGAAGGGTGGCACCAGAACGTGGAAGAAGGCCACAAAACTTGTTCTTGGAATAGCAAGCAGCAAATAGCAGCAAGGACTTGCTCAGGGCTTCAGGACAGTTGAGACCACTTCCTATTGTGAATTGAGACACTTTCAGGACTTTCCCCTTTGTGGTCTTCTCGACTCCGAAAGACTGTGTTGAACATGTTGAACCTTCTTGGGTCAAAGAGGCCTGGTCGCGAACGAGGGTCCAATGTCCCACCTTTTTAGTATGACATAAATCTGGTATGACACGTCCTTCACGCCAGGGTTGGCAGTGGTACTTCTCCCTCAACGGCCGCCCTACCTACACCCCTCCATGTTTCTTTTTCTTCCGGACCCGACCTGGTCGGTGGTTTCTGGACCTTCCGTGAGCTTTAATATAGATCACTCTATAGGAAACACCTGGAGGCTTCAGCCTGCCCGGTCGGAACCGCTCGCTCTGACCGCCCGGTCGGTGGTTGCGACCGCGTGGCTGGTGCGTCCGCCCGACTGAGGCGACCATTGCACAGAGCGACCTCGTGGGCTTCACAACCTTGGCCTCCTCCAGGGAACCCATGGAGGCCGGAACCTGACGCCCTCGTGGCAGCCGGGGCGGGGAGGGGGCGGGTGGTTCTCGTGGTTCTCCGAAGAAAAGGGGGGGGTTCATTTCCTTGACAGTGAGTTCAGGATCTCTGAGAGGTTTGACCTTCCTTTCTTGGTCCTAATTCCAACCTCTCTTGGAAAGAACAGGGTGCTGGGAGATGCCCTCCGAGTCTTCGGCTGTTCTTTTTTGTTTTTGGTGGGTGGGGCGGCCGATTCCGGTCGGGGGGACGTTGGGGGAGGTGGTAGGAGGCGTTTCGATGGACGTCGCATGGATTCAAGGGACGAGGGAGCTTGCAGGAGGCTTTTTGCACAAGAGACAAGCAACTGAAGATCCAGAACTGCCAGGAGTTCTCCCTTTGCTGACTTGTTCAAGCAAAGTTGATCATCTGTCAAGCAGTTTCCAGCACCGGAGCCATTCTCCAAGCGGTTCTCCAGAGCCATTCTCCGCTCCTGGCACATCATGTCTCGCCTCCCGCGAAGACATGTCCAGGTCGTGCGCATCATCAGCGAGCTCTTTGACAAATTTGATGCCCCTCGGGCGGAACAAACACCAGCGGTCCAGCTGGTGGTGGGAGACCCTCTGCGGCCGAGGTTTTCGGTTGGTCGAAGAGGCATGTGGAAGGATACGTGGAAGCGAAAACTGATCCAGAAAGCATTTGAGCAACATTTATTTTATTGACGCTTACCTTTTCATGTGGTTTTACACTCTTCGGATCCTTTTCTTGATTCTACTGTATCTACTTGCTCAGACTGAGTCGATTTACGGATGGTCACTACAGTCATTAGGTGGGCAACTCCCCCATGGATTCGAGGGGAAACCGCAACCCAACCAGCAAGCCACCAGCTAGAGCACCCATTCTCCAGTCGTGTCAGAAACTCCCAAGCCACCCATTCTCCGGGCCGAAATGGATACCATCTCGTCGCATGCCCAGCAGTGCCCAGGACCTTGCAGATCAGTATAAGATCTACAAGGTAGAGACCGTTGGAGATGCTTACATCGTGCCTTGCTGTGTCGTCCACGGCCGCGGCCACGGCGTACTACTGCCGAAGGAGTGTCGCCGACTCTTTGATCCTATTTGTACTGGTACGTACCGTAGACTCGTAGACCCTAAGAGACCGGTTCTAACCACCATTGCATTGATCTTGTTTGTCCCTTGTTTTCACTAAGGACGCTAGACTAACACCACCAGTGTCAACCCTTCTCGGAACGGTCTTCCAAAAGACAGCGGTTCCGGGTCGAGTCACCGGGCCGGTGGCGCGTGCGCGTGCGCGGCGCGGCCGCGTCTCGCGTGTGACCTCATCGGATCTGAGGCGGGTCAGGCGGACAATCCCCTCACCAGCTGCAACCAGCCTTTGCTTCTTGAAAGCAGGATGTTTCGTTGGGGACGGGACCGTTTTGGAGGTTGGGCAAGAATTCGTGGCATGTCACACCGTTCGTGGCCAGGACGGCGCCTTGGCCGGCTTGGTGCCGGTCGAATGGTTTTTAGATGTTTTTAGTGTTTCGTTTTGTATTTGACGCTTCATTAAAGGATACGGCTGGGAAGAAAAATCAAGGAAAGAACGATCATCCAGGATGAGGATCAATTTCATGTAGTCAGAAATAGTGGAAACAGTTGTATATATAATCCGCAGGCGAAAAAAGACTCGTCAAGCATAGTGAAGACAATTAGCAAACAAAAAATATATTGTACATGATTTTTTACCCGGCAAGATATGAACATGAAAGTAACACGAATTGACATTAATCATTAATTAATGTTTTTCTTTCATATCTTGGTCTTACAGGATTCTTCATTCTAATCCTACTCCTACATGATTGATGAGAATGAAGACCCCACCTTGAAAATAAGACCAACCCGCCAAACTATGAAGTTTGAATTCTTTGAATATATAAATAGGTGAATGGAAACACAGAACCTTTATTGACAGATTTCTTATCAGGGTATTTTTCATTAGTGTCTATGTTATTCCTGCAACATTCCTTATAAACAATTTTTGCATTTTACTACTTTAGGACCTTTCCTTTTTCTTCTGGCTGGTTCAGCGCGAATGTATGCTGGCTTGGATCATCCACGCAAGACAATCCATTGACCTACATCCACATCCATCATCCATCAATCAGGCTTTACCTGTGGCGGCTCTAGGGGTCTTCATCTATATCCACAGAGAGAGGGCTTGGTCCAGACTCTTCGAGCGCTTTTCTTAGAACGCTCTACACCACCGCTCTCGTTACGAGGCTGGTGGTGCTCTTCGGCCTTGGAATGACCATGGTGACACGTACCTGGTCCGCCCAGAAGGGAGAAAACATCAGCCGCTTGGGCCCGCAAGAAGGGGCCGAACCGCGGTGCGGTGCGGAACTACCTCCGCTCCCGAGCCGTTTTCTTTCGCCGATGGAAACGTGGGGTGGAGCGAAGTACAGCTTTTCGGTGGGTGATGCACATGGGTGATGCACATGGGGGGAAAAGGAAGAAAAACACTGTGCGTGAAGGTCAAGGTGATTTTTGCTTTCCCCATGGCTAAATCCATGTAAACCCTCTTCTTCTGCATGGGGAATATGTTGTGTTTGTTTTCCAGGTTCCTTAAGCAAATCCAAGTACATGGTTTGCATCTCACTTGACGTTACTTGACACAGGTCGAATGCCCCAAGTCGGACGCGGACTCTTCGCCGACCCCGGCGGCCCCCCCGTCTCTTCCAGGTTGCAGGGTGGGCGTTCACACTGGTGAATGCGTGGGTGGCATGGCCCGGATCCCGGCTTCGGCCGCGCGCGAGGGGGGCGCCCGAAGCCCAACGCTGAGACTCAGAGGGGTTTCCGAACAGATCCGTGAGTGGAACATCGTCCTGAGCCCCTTTTTCGAAGCCGGACGCTAATTAGAAGCTCCCTCCTCCCATCCATTTGGTCCATTCCACACATTCTACTTGTAGATGATAGGAGAGAGGAGGGACCGCAGGGACCGCGACCCACGACGCACCGCAGGGACCGCTCACCGCAGCACGACGCCTCCACGTTGAGGTGGGCGAGTCGATGCAACGCTACCACCTCTTCGGCGATTTGATGCGCCGCCTCGAGCTGCTGGGCCGGATCTTCGGGAACCGGGTTCGCCCGTTCTTGGCGGGCGAAAGAGGTGGAGAAGAGGCAAGCCATTTGACGCTGGCATTGGAAGCACCCCCATTATCATCTTACCAGAATCTTACCATTTTGTTCAATGTTTGGATGAGAGCCAGTTCACCCTGTTCACCCCCCGTGATCTTCATCATTTAATTTGTGATCTAGCACAGCGGGGTTGTCTTTGGCTTTGGGTGGTTCTTGCCTGCCCGTTTTGTGCTGGCAAACGCATATAGGGCATGCAGAAGAACCTTGGCACATCTGAGAGACATTTATGGACATATATACATCGTACATACTCGTACATCATTACATCATCAACCATATTAAATTAATAATTAGACAAAGGTCACTGTGTTTCAGGATCCAATATTCTTTCTAGCAGGTCGAGTGCCCTGGTCATTTGGAGATGCACGACCAACGACCCAGACGGTGAAAGCTCCAGACTTTGGACGTTGAGGAAGGCTGCCAATGCTGGAAGGATGAGAACCTGTCTTTACAGACCAGAGGTGTTTTCCGCGCAAATGGCCTGAACATGTCCTTCCTCGCCCACTTTTGAGCTGCACCGCTCAAATGAATTTTCTGGCTCTTTTCCTTTCTCCCTGGAAGCATCCTCTTGGGATTCAGCGCTGTAGATGCGATGCCGTGAAACTCCTTGTCGCACACAGGGGGCTGTTTGATGGCTGGAAGCGCGGACTTGTGCAACGTCATGTAGCAAGTGCTGGATTCCGTCATGTATAATATATATAAATATAGCGGCCTTTTCACGATCTAAGAGCATTGAACAATTCCCTCCTTCATGATGCTTCGTTCTGTCTCGTCGATCTCTTGCGCAATGCCGTCATATCGCCCGCCCGCTGAGGATCCTCGAAGCAACCGCTCCGACGGGACAGGTTCAAGTCAGCAGGCGAGGATCACGAAGAGTCGGAGAAGGTGGTCCACCGCTGGAGGAGACTATGGGGAGAACGTGGTTGTCCGACTTGAAGCCTCCAACAGGTCGGAGACCGGAGACCTGAGACCGGACCAACTTGTTTGCTGGCATGGGGACCGTTGGTTCGAAGCGGTGGAAGGTTTCGCGGGTGTGAATGGAGATTCCTTGACGAGAGCAGCCGGCGGCCAGGGCTTGCAAGCTAGCGGTGGAGTCGCAGATCCAACGTCACCCTCAAGAGGCGCCGATCTATGCTGCGCAAGCGCTTCCGCAGATTCTCGGGGACGCGCCGGGAGTTACCGGGGCGTTGGCGTTGTTGTTGTTGTTGTTGTTGTTGTTGTTTTTTTTTTCTTCTTTTCTTTTTTTTTGTGCGTTTGGTTTGGTTTGGTTGTTTGGATCGGTTTGGTTCTTTGGATTGGTTTGGTGGCCGCCAGAGTGGTTGAAGCGGCGAAGTGGGTGAAAGTTGGTCAGTGGAGAAGTGCACACATCTGATCACTCAGCACTTCAACTATCAGAAAAGATGAAGTGATGAGACAGTATAGGAAAAAGATGAAGTTGATGAGCTCCTGCCCAGTTCTTCACTGTTTAAAGGACTAGTGACTAATGGTCAGACACAGTGGATAAGCCATCCGAGCCAGATGGGCGGATGAAGGGTGGCACTGATTTCATCATGTGCACCGGCGCATGGCGGCACGACACTTCTGGTGGACTTGGCCGGCCAGCGCCAGCCTGGTGCCGTCCATTAGGTATAAAGGAGTCCCGACAGCATCACTGCAGCCCTGCTCTCCTTTGGTGGTTCTTGTTGGATGACTTGTAAGATGCGCGGTCTGTTTGAACCCGTGATCTGTGTCGCCCAAAATCAACACCCGCAACCCAAGTCTTCAACAATAACATCAAATTACAGCTAAGTTGTGCTAAGCTCCTGGCAATGCAGCTGTTTTGTCTAAACGGATTCATTCCACCTCCTGACCACCAGAAGACTGCATATTCAGACATAGTGGAAACATGAGGGAAACAAACGCACTGTTCACACAGCATCAACACTCAGAGACGTCCGATGCTCGTAGAGTCCACATACTTTCAGTCCCCAACTTTCACGGGGTGAACGGGGGTGAACTCCACTTCCAATGTTGAGTCAGAGTGTACCTATACATTTCACCCGGCAAATCACCCGAAGGATCATCATGATCATCCATAAGTCTCCCTACTTTCAACACCTATGTATATATATATATATATATGAGCCTATATGCTTTTGGAGTGTCAAACCCCCACACCGAACCACCGCAGAAACACCGAACGCTCGCTGCCCCGATTCCTACGCTTCTGTTGCGTCACGCCACTCGGTGGCTTGACGCCTCTTGACGCCATGTCGGTCCCACCGAGCTCGGTTCCCTTCGGCCCTCAGGTGGCGGATGTCATGGAGCACGTGATTTTCCAAAGCCGTGCAGAGGAGGTCCTCACCAGCTCCAAGGGCTCCTTGGTGCGAACCACAGCGCCGAACGGTGCACGGAAGGCCGAAGGTTCCCCCCTCGTCTTAGGGTGGTGCGGTGGGTGGTGCGGTGCTCGTGAAGCTGGAAGAAGAACCTGGACGTAGAACCGGAAGAGAGGGCTTCGCCAGCCCGTCGGGTGGAACCGAACGAACACCCGCACCGTCACCGCCTGTCGCAGTAACCACGTGGACCCGTGACCGAGCGACCACGGCTCCAGGTGAGGTCCACGACTACAGTGAGGTGGGTGGGCCGACTTACCTGGCCCGGCCCGCGCCCAAGACGCACACGCAGAAAAGGGGGGCGGCGGAGAAGCAGCGGAGCACAGCGGTGAGGGAGCGGTGAGCGAGCGGAACTGGAGGAGGTGGGATGGAATGAGCAGTCGCAGGCCCTGAGTTCAGGGGCTCAGGGATGTTCCTGAGTTCAGGGGATGTGTAAGTATAGGTAGCCCATTGCTTCAGCTTCCGTCCAACAGAAGTCTTTGATCACCAGACTGAATTTTGACGAACTTTGAATTGACCAGCAGAAAGCTCAGGCCGTTCATCTTGGTTCCATTCTGCTTCAGAACCCAAAACCACCTCAGTGACTTCCCACCTAAACGTCACCGCCGAACGGTGACGGAAGCAGTCCCCGCCTCGTTCACGGGCGGATGCGACCCGCAGGATGCGGCTGGTGACGTTTGGGTCTGCGAGCTTGGAGTCTCAACTCGAGCAGGTGGGGATGGACGACGTGGTGACGGGGGCAACGCCCGTGGGCGGAGCTTCTCCGCGGACGGGTGAAAGCCGGGTTTCGGCCGGCTGGCCGACTGGGGCACGGCTCATGTGTGGGTGGCAGTGGTCTGTGACTTGGGACGGTAGCCTGCTGAGCCTGAAGGCACTTCTTGGGGCGTTTTGGACTTTGGGGGGTGAAGGGAGTGATTTGAAGTCCACTGATTTAGACTCCTGAGAGGTTCCCAGGAGTGCCGCACGTGCCGCACGCCGGAGTTGAGCTGAAGTCTGGGACCGGCTTTTGGACCATGGACAGTGCAAACGCATTGATGCACTGCACACAAATGCAAGAACAATGCTTCAAAGGATCACTCCCCCTTTTGTTTGCACCTGACTGGATGGTGTTACCATATTTTTCCACTTAATTAGGAGGATGACATGCTTCTGCTTCAACGAGTTCTCCTTCAGCACTCTTTCGGCCTCCTTCAGGCGATGGCCTCCTTCGGAAAGATGTCACGTGAAGGGTGCGGTGTCTTTATTTACTTTTCCGCGCGCGCGGTGTGCTGGGGTGGGTGGCAGGGCGTGTGCACTGGGTTTGGTCTGTGATTCCGATTCGCTTTGCCTGTTTGCTTTGTGATTGCCTGATGGTACCTACCAGTCCAACCTTTGATTTTGATTGCACTGTTGGAGGAGGATGAATACATCGCTGGGTTTGGTTTGCCAACTGAAAAGACTTCGGGGAGTTGAACACGTCCATACTGACAGGATCGGCGGAAATGGAAGGAACCACCATCTTGAAACAGTGGGAGCTGGTCATCTGACGACGAACCCGACACCAGGCAGGGTTGCGAAGCACTGGCTCCCACGTGGGCAGCTGGCCGGGGGCCGCAGGTGCGCCTAACCGCTTGTAGGGACAAGCATTTGAGACCAGATAGATTCTTGGTCACAAGTGTTTGCTAGCTTCTTGGCTAGCTGTCTTTTCATGTGAAACACTGTGCAGAGATAGAAGATGGAGACGTTGAAAAGGGACGTGTCTTTTTGATTGGTTTTTGACCTCAGTCTACCTACCTCAGTCTGGAGACTTGCTCATGACGATATTTGCTAGCAGACTGCCATGTAGGTCGGAGGGAAGTTATACTGGTCAGTCCCACGGTGCCTTTTCTCCTCCGCACGTCCGAACCACAAACCGCCCGATGTGAAAAAGCGGGCGCGACAGGGGTCGAGGCCTCTCCTTCTCCCGCCGTGCCACCAGAGATGTTTCTTTTTGCCCCGAAGAGTGGGTCTGGGAGTGAAAGGGAGGCTAGTGGTGGTGGAAGAGCAGCAAGACGACTGGCTTAAATGGACTTTCAGATGGCACCTCAAACATCAACCTGGGCAAGCGTGGTTTCAAGGACCTTTTGATGTTTCAGATGCCACTGGCTGAGCCAATGTGGGCGTGCAGACATGTTCGCAGACTACTCTGAAGGATTTTTTCACTATCACCATCTATCACCACCATTGCCCTTACTGAACAACCATTGCTTTACGGATTTCACACGATATACTATAACGGTCAAAAGCGAACTCTTTTCATGGTCCAATGGACGGCTAGGTAGCCTACTTTCTGTGTCACTCCGTATGGCCCTCGTGCCACATCCAACGTGCCTCGTGCTGATTCGCCCAGGCCCTCCACCCTTCCCAAGCTCAACTCTCCGGCAGATGCTGCGAATGCAGGTGCGGACTCGAACTCCAGTTGTTGTCGAACTCGGCGCCCCCGTGGCCGCGACGGCCACGTCTCGGTGTGGAAGTTTGGACCTCAGGCCATGGTCAGAGGCTGACCTCCTTCTCAACCACGCCCTAATGTATATATATGTAGGCCAATTCTGCCAGAGTGTTCGGGTCGAATCCCTTGGTCCGACCGTCGTTCCCGCGGTCCGACCGTCGTTCCCGCGGTCCGGTGTTCGGTTCGCTGGGGCCACAATTCACGTCAGGGACGGCCCGAGCGACGCGGGAAGTTGCGAGGCAAATGGAAAAGCCGTTTTTTTTGGTTGAAAAATGGACCTCCTTCCAGGTTTTCAGCCAGGTTTTCAGAAGATGGTGTGTGATGTGCTGAGGGGGAGGGATCCCGTCGATGTTGTCGGTGTTGCTGCTCCTCACACCACGCTTCAGAACAAGCAAGCCCGCGTTTGAGGATTTTGAGGGCCGTGAAGAACCTCGAGGGCGGCCGAGCTGTGCCGTGGTGCGTCACCGCGCGTTGCCGCCGTGCGGTCGAAGCTCGGCGTCACCGCGCCAGGGTTTGACGCCCAAGCCGGAGTTGCACCTGGTCTTCCCCATGACGAACCTGCAGCCCTGGGTGAGGCGGCCTACGTGTTTCACTGTGGCCTTCGTGTTTGGATCCCTCTTGAAGCGGTTGGTCATTTTTCTAGAGGCCGGTAGCCAAGGAGCCACGGGGGGCTATCCAGATTCCTCCATGTTGGCTTGACGGGAGCCATTTCACGACGGGAGCGACGAAGGGAGCCCCCCGACCCAAACTGCTAGTTCTATATCTTAAAAAAAGGCAACGAGTGGGGCCGAAACACGCCCTGCTTTTCGGACGACAAACCACCCAATTTGTGTACCAGGAAAAAAAGGGTGACCCGACGTGGTCTCATAAACAGTTGGGATGTGCGCAATGGCGGTTGTGCACAGCTTCTGTTGGGTTCCGTGCCACCAAAGCCTAGGGCCTAGGACTTAAGACCGTGGGAAGAACAGATTGGTGGAGACACAGAGACACACACTTGCTTGAGAAAGAGCTCGCATTCCCTTGTAGAGGCATTGGCAGAAAGAACTCGGCACAGGCAGCCTTCCTAAATTTGTATTTTTGTATTTCACAGACATGTGACATGACAAGGATGTTCCACTGTTTGCAGGAGCTTCTGAAGGGTCAGTGGTTTCAGAGTAGATGGCACAACCCCAAGTTAGGTATTTTTAAACAAGACCCTCATCCTAAATAGGACATCCTGTTGAATTCTGCGCCACTGAAGTGTTGAGAGGACAAACACATCAGATGTCAATCAGATGGCACGATCCGATCAGGAGCAATCCGACGGCCTATCTTGAGCACATCCTGTTGTATGCTCCGAGCTCAGATGACTCTTTTTTGACTAATGAACAGTTATTGGTTCTCATTTGCCCGGAATTCGTTGGAGAAGATTTAATCTTATATAACTTATATCTTTGTATACATTATATATATACCCTAGGATTCAAACAACCATTGATTTAATGGTCTTTACCAAAGAACCATTGTTTTACTAAGGATTTTTACATTACACCACCAGCTCAACCGTTCTTTTAACGGTCTTTGAAGACTAGGGTATATATATTATATAGTTCTTTTCGTTCTTCCATGGACTGCTCGTGTCAGATGCGAGCACAAGCACAAGGGGGGAAGCACACTCATTGCTTCTGTTGGCTGCTATTGGCTCAGGCCCAACCTGCTTGCGGTTTATAACCTGCCCAATGCCGCATCTGCGCTGAGGCTGGTGGCGGCTCCCTGCTTTTGGCTTGGAGAGATCAGTCCGGACACCGAGTGAAGACCAAGCCGCCATTGCTTGTGCGCGCGGCTTATCTGCGCGTGGCCACGTGGGGATGTCACTGGTGACCCACATTTTGAGGAGAAGCCGGGGGAGCACCTGGTCTGTATTTTTGGGTCGTTGCCCCACCCAGAAGCCCAGATCAAGCTGTCTTGGCTCCAGAGAGAGATGGATCCAGGAAAAACGGAAACACATCTGTGGCTGGGGGGAACACGCCCAACTAGACTTGACAGTATACCGGAAGTTGTTCGGAAGATCACGTGTTCAATAGCCTGGGCAAGTGCAAACTGGACATGGGGAAGGTTTGATCGCGACAGCTTTTTTGCTTCTGGCCGCGATGCTACAGGCTTGGGGTTGCTTCAAGCCTGGCGGTGAGTCAAGAGGACGTTTTCAGAGAAAAAGAGGAAGTGTGCTACCCCATGCTTTTTTTGGTGGGTCTCTTTCGGTTTTGCTTGATCGTTTGGATTGATTCGTTTTTCTCTTTGTGTCATGCGTTTTTGGGTGGCAGTCGATTTGTTTACCATTTGTTCTCTTGTTGCCATGGATGGTTTTTTGTGACCCTTTATGGAAAAGGCATGGACGCAGCTTTTGAATCCGGAGCCTTTTCTCGCTTTGCTAGATGGGCCACCCAGCGCGTTTTCGTCACGGTGTTGGGTGCTATTGCATGAGTCGGCGCACGTGCATCCCGGTGTCCCATGCCACGTGCATCCCAGTCACACCAACCCTCGAGGCACTCAAGACATCCCAACCACTCAGAGCTCTCTTCCTGTCAGCAGCGCCACAACCTCGGACCGGCCGCGACAGGATAGCAGCGCGGGGTCCAAGATCATCGTCTCCATGGCGCTTCTTCCGGAGGCGCGTGCCGAAAAAGGCCGCGGCAAGCCGGAGGCGGAGTCCCGGCAGAGTCCGGCAGAGTCGGCTCGTGGACCGGCGGATCCGGCGGCTGCCTCGCAGCGGCGACGCAGGGTGTGGAGCGCCTCCCGGAGCTCTTCGAGGCCTTCTTTGCCTTCGTGGGCCGCGCACGGGCGCGCACGGGCACCCAATTCCTCGGGCACTGCAGGGGGGGGGAACGATGAGAGCCGGA